TACAGGAAAAACCATAGTTCCTTCCAATTCTCTCAAAAACCAAAGGTTTAAAATCATCTTTCTTTATTAATTGTACATAAATTTGTTTTGATTTTAAATCAGCTATATTAGCTGTTTTCTTCCCCAAAGTGAAATCAGTTCCAGAATTATTTTTTTCTTCTCCCTTTCTAAAATTATTTTTCCAACAAACTGGTAAACAGGCATAAAAGTGCTTGATCTTTTCAATTTCATTTACTTCAACACCTAAATCGATAAAATGCCTGCCACTTTTTAGTTTACCATCGTTTTCCAGAATATGTTTTAATTTGTAAATTCCTTTGTCATACAACCTCTTATCGTATATACAACTTCCTTTATATCGAATAAGTTTATTATTAAAAATTACCACATCACCAATGTCTATACTCCTTATATGTCTCGTATTCACCCAATCTTCTAATAAATCCATATAAAATTGTGGAGCTGTCACTTTTAATAAACTTGGTATATAGTCACATGAAAATCAAATCTCCACCCACGTGTTCAGTGACAAAGTTAAAATATTGTTTCCATTTCATGTCTTCATCGAGTGATCGAGTGATTGATTGAGTGAATGAGCGAGTGATTGAATGGTCATGTGATTAGTTGATTGACTTAGAGAATGAGCGGGTGATTGCTTAATTAAGTGAGTGAGTAAGGGATTGATTGATCGATTGATCGATTGAGTGAGTGAGTGATTGAATGATCATGTGATTAGTTGATTGATTAAGATAATGAGCAGGTGATTGGTTAATTAAGTGAGTGAGTAAGGGATTGATTGTTCGATTGATCGATTGAGTGAGTGATTGAATGATCATGTAATTAGTTGATTGATTAAGATAATGAGCGGGTGATTGGTTAATTAAGTTAGTGAGTAAGAGAGTGAGTAATTGATTGATTTATCAATTGATTGATTGAATAAGTTACTGAGTGAATATGTGATTTTTGCTTGCTTGATTAATTGATTGATTAATCTATTGACTGAATGAATAAGTCAATTAATGAACTGATTGATAGTTGCTTGATTGATTGGTTAGTTGATTGGTTGGCTGATTGCTGATGAATTGATTAATGATTTTAAAAAAATGGTTTACTTGTTTCACTAAAGACGGGCTGATTGTAGTGTTATACAGTATACAGAAGGTCTTTTAACTCATATCATTCTGTTTCAGTGATAAATGATTTTCTGGTCCTCTATCCTTCAATGTTGATTGATTGATTCATAATTTGATTTAATCAAAATGGAGTTGTCCATGTAAATAACAAAGTTAGTGATGAATAAATTAACGACATTCACAATTTTAAGAAACAGATTTTAAAACACAATCTGAAAATTACCACTTATCGTAATAATACTAAAACAAACTATTGGTCAATACTGATATTACGACATTTTTCAACTACGGAAGAAATTATGAAATGGTAGGTCAACCGGGACAAATCTCTAATTGCATTATTTCATTTCTTCTACCACCTATTTTGTTTGAATTACATTTTATTTGCATTTCTTATATTAAAGATGGTTTAATCATGGAAATTCGTCCACCTTTAAGTAGAACTTATTTCTCGTGTAATATCATGGCCCTAGGTCGATGGTAATATTCAATACATTACTGATGAGAATGTCATCCTTTTCAAAAATATACATTAAAATACATGTAGAAATCATGCTACATCAACATGAAGATTGGCCATATTAGTGATGAACTACAAAACATAAATATTTCTGGGATCAATTTCGATCCCATCTTTCAATTTTCTGATTTAACAATCGCCGTTGAGCAAACATAAAATACGAAAATACATTTTGTTTTCAGGTCTATGTGTAGGGACAAATCACAATTCTACTCACGGTTTCAAACTTGTCAAACAACTGTCACCTATAGATGACTGCTAGGTAGAGGTCAGTGCTGCTAGGTCGTTAAAATGCGAAAAATAATTTCAATCACATGGGTTTGGAAGTGAAAAAAGACTGTTATGTGATTTTTTTTTTCAAGTGCGGGAAACACTGATTATTATGAATTATAAACATCGTACATATCCTCTTCATGACATATATTGAATTGCATATTTTTCATCACATTTTTTCTGAAATGCGTAAATTTCTACAAGAATCATAAGTGCCATTAGCTGGTTGCCAGCATTCATGTCCATAAAGAGGCTGAGGGGAATGGCAGCGTAAAAAATGTAGCAACAATTTGAATCATAGAAATAAGTTATATTCACCGACATCGTAGCATATCAATCTACCAACACAATTTATGAATATCGACTATCGTCCTACATCCCCCGTCCCGTCGGTTTTGACTATACTAATGGTACAAAATATAAATTATTCGAAAAGATTTATTCATTTCCCATTGTTGAATATACCCTTCAAGATTTAAAACACCCCATAGGTGATGACAAGTAGAATTATTTGGATGGCATCAATGGAATTCACGTAGAAAGCCTTCAAATTACATTATCATCATCCTATCATGTTTTTTGTTTAGATATATAACATGTTTAATTAGAACATCGTTACATGACACGCAAGTTTTTTTTCTATATCAAATCTTAAAACCCATAAGTTATTAGTATTCAGATTTAGATGAGATATGGAATCAGGAAAATAAATATAATCATAAGTATATCAAAATTCAAACATACCCTTTTATAGAATAATGATTCGTAAAGAATGCTCGAATGCTGAATATATCTTTCTCTCGATCCTTTAAGTTCTACAGAGCGTAATGAGTGTTTGACTAGTTTAACCCATGATAGGATATCACATGCCATGAACATGATTAATATGCATCAAGTATAACACGTTTTAAAGAGAAGATTGACACCTGGTAAAGAAGAATTATAATTTCTGAACTTTTTCATTTTATGTCAGATAAGATCAATATCAGAGGTGTCCACTGAAAAGAAAATGCTATTTGAATGCCATGCCAGCTCACCACAGACCACACATTACGAAAACTCATGATGTCTGGCAACATTAGGCATATCGATTTCTCAATTGATGGCCAATTTCATAAAATCATGCTCTTGGCCTATAGGCCTACTTTTACGAAGGTCAAGATTCTGCTGTCGAATACTCTATATAGAGTGCACAAAACGAACTTTGTCCCACATTCATCCCATCATCACAGACAGGGATGAGGCCTTCTTTCCCAAGGGAGGAGGATGAAGTACCTCGTGATGATGACTGTCCATCCGTTTCCATAGAAACCATTCCATATTGTGTTACTTTCCTTTCAATATTTTTGAAGATGATTTTGACGCAACCTTTAAGTTTGTGTAATGTACGAAGTAAAGAAAGCCTTATCTCATCAAATCAGGGTGTGGATTTGAAGGGCAAATCAACATCTTACTTAAGTTCATCTCATCACAAAGTGAAGGTTAACGCAACACTTCGCCCTGTAGAACCCATTGTGACAAATTTTACTTTTTTTCTGAAGATAATTTGACCGTTGGATTTTAATACTTAAAACATGATATGACATCGAAGCGACGATTTATCCGCCAGTTCATACACTGTCTTATGATCTTCCTCTCTACGATTTACGTATTTTCTTCTTTTTCCGTCACCCACTCCCTATGAATATCTGCATTCACACAACCAGAAGGAAAATAAAATGTATTCATGGTATTTACATGTATGAAGCATAGGTGGCCAAAAAACTTAACCTCTCTCTCTCTCTCCCTCTTCCTCTCCCTCTCCCTCTCCCTCTCTCTCTTTTCATATGACTACTGTGATGCTAAAATCAGTCAAACTAGAAAATAATGGTGTGGGTTGACCTTCCAGGTGCGTTCTGGTTTGAATTTGGGGGGTCTTTTTAGGACATTTTATAAGTGTTAAGTTGTGCCCGCTTCTTTCAATATCGCTTATACATCTAGGGTAATTACACATTTTTTGCTTCAAACAGCGGTCTATAAAATACATGTACAATAATTTATTTTTAATAGACTCCTCTACTCATGCTTGTTTTACTCTGTCCGGATTTGCTTTATATTCTAATTTGCTTTATATTGTAAATTACACCCAGAATTTTTTTAGCCATTGTTATCACTTGTATCTTTTCTCATACCACTGTAAAGCGTTTGTAATGTAATTTTCTTTTCAAAGGGGTTTGTCTTATCGATGTGTGGATATTTTTGTTGCGTGTTTGTTCATGATTTTTGTTATCTGATTGAAAAAAGACATACGCAGACAAATAAATAAACTTTGAACATACACATGAACTTAAACTCTTATCATTCAATTCCTGTGCCAGGTAATAACTCTCTATCTTCAACATTGTACTCATTTCTCTTTTTATGTTAGTAATTTTTATTCGGATATTTTAAAAATGCCCTTCATATACAATCTCAATGACCACTCTACTACTTAATCTTTATTTCAGCTGATATTTTGTATTTTGAAAAAGTAAGACAGATTGCCAATCTGTAAAACGATGCCAATAAGTGAACACTTTCAACAACAACAACAACAACATAGTTGAACTTCTCCTTCTCGCCAAAAAACAGCCATCCGATTCGCACGTACACCCTCTATCGCATTTACCATTGGCTAAACCTAATCAATGACATCATAATTGTATAAGGAGCTCCGTTCAAGAAGGGAGTAAGATGATTTCTTAAATTTTGCTTAAACTATAGACCAATCTTATTTTCTTGCCCACTGGAAATGTGCAAGATATGATATGGTATGGTATGGTAACCGGTATATATCTACCGATATGTTGACGTTAGGGGTAGCATTCCTTTTTGTTTATTTGTTTTTCTGAATGTTGTGTTTGTTTTAATAAGAATCTGTAAAACTCAATGCCCTACCTCAAAAACTAACGATCTCACTCTGTCTGTTTTGGTTATTATTGGATTTGATTCGTTATTGCAGTAAACATCTCAAAACACGTGAGTTCCAGCCAAGCATTATTTTTTTAATAATTTTATAGTATCATCTTTATCCTATCCTGGGACTGAGGTGAAGGTCTACTTCAAGTTAGGACTTAAATGGAAAAGGTGAAAAGTCAAATGTTTGATTTCTCCCCTATAAATACAAGTAGATACCAGACAAGAGAACATATTTTGAGGAAAGTTTTCATCTTGCAGAGGATGCTGTGGTCAATCTGTCTCTTTTCTAGAGTTTCCATCTCAGCTTTATAAACGTCATCTAGCATCACCGTCTCAGCATCATTGTTTCCATCTCAGCTTTATAAACGTCTTCTAGCATCACCGTCACAGCATCATTTTTTCCATCTCAGCTTTATAAACGTCTTCTAGCATCACCGTCACAGCATCATTGTTTCCATCTCAACTGTATAAACTTCTTCTAGCATCACTGTCAACAGTAAGATTTCTTTTATAATCATATAATCTTGTTTAAGAGTATTTGACACTTTGATATACCATCTTTTGTTTGTTTGGGTTTTTTAATGTTTTGTTTTAACACCGCTTTCTTACACGACTGCAAGAAAGACAACAGACAATTCGAGTTCATGCCTATATTTTCTATTAAATATCATGCAGTGTGTGCTCGATGTGTGCGCGTTTGTGCGCGCGAGTGGGCGTGTGTGCGTGTGGGTGTGTATGTGCGTGTGTGGGCGCGTGTGTGTTGTGGTGTGTGTGTGTGTGTGTGTGTGTGTGTGTGGGAGGGTGGTTATGTGAATGCTTATAACTTTGTTTCCGAGATGATATTATTCGCTTTGTTAGTGTGTTTTCACTTTGCCTGTTTACATAAAGCAAAGCATAAAGCAACAATTAGTTTCTAACAGTATTTAGAGTTTTGATCACATTTCATTGCGGCAGAATCATGAATCCATAGTTAATTTTTTTAAGTCTATTACTTGTTGTGATGGACCATTCTCTGAATTCAAAAAATCCAAAAATGTTGAAGAGAAACACAGAGAAAGTTTGAATAATTTAGAGAAAGAGGGGGAAGGGGGTACACTATCTGGTTAAGTTGGCGATCGATGATATTAACTCACATCGTCCTAACCAACTGCGCGCTTCATCCTTTTAGCGTGTGGAAGATGATTATAATCCGGTTTATGTAACACCTACTCCAGCTTGTCATCGGTACTTCGATCTACCGGGTTACTTCATTTTAAAAAATTGTCTTAACATTGAGTGTACTTGTTCACATATTTTGGCTCGGATTGTTCATTGTAACGCATTTTTCATTTTTTTCAAGTTCGGCATCGAACATGAGTGGGCGTGCAGTAACACATGTATTCTTGATTAGTAATTTGTATGGACAAAGGTTTCTTTTTTCTATAAATTTGTGTGTGGTCTAATTAATCTACTTGAACCATTTATTAAATAATTTTCACTTATTCCTCCCCGGCAATCAGATTATAAAGCGCCTTTCCCTTTACTTTTTATGATCATCCCCATAATTCATGATCCTCTTTCTAATATATACTATTGTCCCGTTTTATCCACCTTATGAGGGCTAAAAACAAGGTAGATATATTTTGAATAGAATACTTGTTTTAATAGCTTACAACCTATAAAATCTACTACCGAGATCATTATCATCATTACCATCATCGTCATCATCATTAATCTTGGTTTCCAATTTTGACTGTTGAAAACAAACCTTTTTTCAATATTACTTCACCGTAAATGCACAGTATTGCTTATCCTAAACACCAACACTGGATACTGAAGACCATTTCATGGATATTGGTTACTTTTTGATAATATATTTCAGGTTAACCACTATGTTTTTAAACACCTAAATTTCGTTGTTACCCTTTTTTTAATGGAATTTCGTATGTAGCTATATGTAAAAGCCTACACACATAATATCTATGTATTTTTGTGGGTTTTTTTCATTAAAAAAAATAAAATAAAAAGCACTTAAATAAATATATGCCGGTGCCTTCCTTCATTGATGAAGTACGTATAAAAGAGAAAAATCATTATGTAGAATGTGGAGTTTCAGCAACCTGGATCACATCCAATAACAAACCACCCTGAATTTCATTTCCGTCATGCTGTCTTTCTTGATCGTTTGATTCTTAGTCATCACTGTTCATCCAATCACTATTCTTCTTTCAGATGAAGATCTCCATCGTTCTAGCTTTACTCGTCCTCTGCGTTGTACATCACGAAGGTAAGAAAAGTCTTGTGAAAGCGGGAATAACGTGAATTTTCTTTGTTTGTACCTTACAACCCAAGTCACACTAAGCGTACGTCCGGTTGCAGACTACTGACAACCAAAAAATAGCTGCGACCATCGACAACCAGTTTGCAGGAATTGATAGTTGGGGATCAGTTGCCGATCGGTTATAAGGCAATGGGCTGTCGGTTGCGGAATTTTGTACAAAAATTGTCGGATCATCAAAGATTTTCGTAAACTAATTTGTGACCGCTAGTGGAAATATTGGTGAATGGTTGGCAGCTGTTCAGCAATAGATAGGCGATAATAAATAAGATTAATGGCCGATGTTCTTACGACAGTCGGCAAGCTTTACATTGGGGGGGGGGGGGAATATCACTGGTGCAAACAAGCATAAGAAAACTATCGCTCATTAATATTAGCACATATTATGTTTAGATGAGAATTGAGTCGCATGACGGTACCGCTTTGTGTCGTAACGGGTATTTATTTCTACCACCACGATGAAAGGCAGATTTCATAAAAACGAACTGTGCCCCTTTTAGAATACAATCATGCTTTTTTTCAACGCTATGAAATGTCCCTTCTCTAAATAAGCTATTTTAACATAAGAATTGTGCAAACATTACAGTGATGTTCGTAATCCGGACGTTCGTAATCGACTGGTTTGATAATCTATGTCATCGATGTTTTTTAACCTGCAGGACAAACTGCACCAGCAGGTCGGAACCTGTTGCAATGGCAATCACAATGGCGTCAAGGTCAATGGTACCCGAACCAGCAATGGCGATCTGCAGCCCAGCGTCAGCAGACCCAATGGAGAATTGATCCTGAGGAACGACTGGAGCAACAGGAAGAAGTGCTTGAGAATCAGCAGGAGCTTCGTGAAAACACCTACGAGAACCAAGGGCCGTTAAGACAGACAGCAAATGGACAATGGGTCTCTAATTCCCAATCCCGTGAGGTTCTTCTCGGATCTGTGAATGCCCCACTTCCCTACGCGGCAGCAGGAGGGTCAACAGGAGGGTCCACCATCTCCTTAGAAATAGATGATTCCTACGTCCCATCTTCAATGACACCCAACGCTTATTACAGGAATGGTTATCAACCGTGGAATCCAAACCTGTGGGATTAAGCATTATAACAAACTCTGATGCGGGATTTAATTCGTCAAAGATAGATAGGCCCAGGGTAATCTACTAACATTTAAGCCGAATGCTGGGTTTAATTAAGCTTCTGGCCGAAACTGAGTTTAACAGGAAGTTAGTCCGTCTAAGTTTTCCCTGTGTTAAACGTTTTAGATCATGGGTCGGGTTTAACTGAATTACTATTTGGGTTAGGGTTTCGGTTGTGATAGGGTTTAGGGTTAGGTTTAGGTTTTAGGGTTATGCTTAGTGTTAGGTTTATGGTTAAAAGATATGAATACGTATATTGCCAGACCCATATATGCAATCGTTGCTTGTCATTATATTTTCAGTTGCTTTTTTTAAAATTCATAATAAATGGCCCAGTTGGTTGAGCATTTTACTCATTTTAGTTCATGAGATTTGATCGAACACATAATTAACCTCGTGGCATATTTGTATGCAATATATTTTAGAGTGAAAGTCTATCACGTGACCAGCCGAGACCTGGGGTCCTGATGCCAGGATTAAGCTGATGTTTTCGAGACAAGATCAAGACATCAAAAGCCTGAAAACATGACAGCTCTAGATATATTCCTTATGATGTATACATTGTATATAATGTTATTTTGAGTGACATAAACTGTAAATGTTAAGACTGAGTTTCAGATATCATACTTTGCCTTTTCCTTCTTACTAGCTTCTTCTAGAAACAAGAGATGAGTTACTCAATTTATTTAGAAGGCCACGACGAGAGTTGAGGGAAGGATAAATGAAATGTGTGCTGAGTGTTAGAGAGGAGTGACATACAGAGAGAGAGAGAGAGAGAGAGAGAGGGGGACATAGGTATGGAGAGGTGGAGAAAGGAAAGTAGGCAGAAATTGGTTGTCGTTCTACGAGTTTGACTGGTCGTAAATAAGAAAATATGAAATATCAGCACAAATACATTTGTAATGATGTTTTTTAAATCCCACTCACGTTCTATCTGTATCAGTGTTAATGCAGAAATATATCGTAGAAAACTACCCTTGTCTCCCCCATGTACTAACAAATCAGAATATTGAATTTTACCAAAAAGAAAATGAGCAACTCATACAGAGACCTCTTACAGTTCTGGATATGAATCATACTATGGTAAATTGAGCGATTAAAGTCAAGGACCCTGTAAAATAAAAGATATTATCAATTGCCAGAAACTAGTTCCAAGTTCATCAGTATTACAATTTAGTTAAAATACTATTGATTGAGTATATACGGTTGACATAATTTACCTCCCATCGATATTAATTGACCTCATACTTCATAAGGTCTTGGATATTAAGGCCATAACTTGACTTGAATAAAATAATAAGTGTTTTGAGCGTATCGAACTCTTTAAGTTGATAATCATCTCTCCGGCAGGAAAAAACTTCAAAAGCGGAAAGTCGCATTCCTGAAGGAAATTGGGAGAGACAGGCACATTATATTTTTTTCCCCAGATGATATGATACAAATCGGTCATCACCTTTCACCCGACTAGATTTCTAGCTATGTGATTGGTGAAGATAAAGGTGACGTCACATGTGACCCATAACGGCAAGAAAGAACTTGATTTGATTTCATGGGTTTATGTGGTTTATTTTGGAGTTTCAAAGAAAGGTCGTATTTTAGCGTGACTGTTTGCAATAAATGTAGAGTTTTCTGGAAAGAGTGCTTATTTTGTACAACTGGTGTAACTGACTTGGTAGCTGGCTCTCCTTCGACTGGTATTCTAGTTTGGTTACTCACAATATCATCAATAAGGTAGGCATATCTCACGAGTATAAAATGGCACGTTTTATTTTGTTTATTCATGTCCTATTTAGACAAATTAGATTACTGTTTAAATTAAAGGAACATTCACATACTTCTCATTCGATCATGACTATTGTGTGATATATTTTTTTTTTTTTTTTGCTTTAATGATATGCTTTTTTTATATGGCGCATAACATCTGGCAACCGTAGCGCTCAGTGCATTCAAGGAATGAATCCTACCAAGTACCAACTTACTACACCTAAGTCGAGTGTAGGTTAATGTCTTGCCAAAGGACATAATTTAGTGCCGAGGCGGGATTCGACCCACATACCTTGTGATTTACAGTCCTAAGACATATTCACTAATATAGTAGACCACACCACCTCTACTTGCTTAAAAGTGTTAAGAGTCACGCGCATGCTAATCTAAAACGTCAAGTAACAAATATAAATGTTGTATAACTAGGGCCCTATCGTATATATGAAGAGTTGCAATTGATCCAAATAAATCGTAAGTCCTCAAATCAATCGCAAGTTTGCAGTGTCCTATCTCTTATGCATATATTTGCGATTAATAAGTTGCGATCAACTCTTTATAAGACGGTGCCCTGGTGTGTTGGTCATCACGGTCATGTTTCTGAGTAGATATCAATGTTTGTTGAGCTATGGAGTGTGTAGACACACTCATGATAACGATTTCAAAGTGAGCGTGTGCTGTAAAATCAACAAGATGTTCAGATGGGTATTTAAGATTATATAAATGAAGTGAGCTCTCTCATATTTACATTATTTCAGGATTCGCATTTGCTATAGGTATAAGTACAATATACTTAAATTATTTTCAGCAAAATCAAGTGAAAACTTGTTATCCTAAATTAGGCTCTTTTAAATGTTAAAAACTTTAATCAACGATATCTACACAAATGAAGTCAATATTTTTACTTAAAGCTTATTTCAAGACACTTTTGCACAATTTTGTTATCGTGGTTGGGGGGGGGGGCGCTTCTGTTCAATTTGATGAGGGTTCACGAGACCGAAAATATCGATCTCGTGAGCTTTCGGACAACTGCGCTGTCACCAAGTTAAGGATCTTTTCTTGGAAATATTCGGAGAGAGCATCGTAAATAAGAGATGTGTCATTTTTAATTAAAGTTGTTAACGTAATATGTTTATCAAAGAGCTTGCAAGATCTTATATTTTCAAAATAAAACAACTGAAGAACTATTCCTTTTCGAACTCGGTAAGTGGCAGTTGAATAAACAAAATCAATTATGTATAAAATGACGCACCATATAACATTAATAATTGCTGATAACGATCACAGATACTTTTTTTTACAGAACGTAATACCGATTTTCCTATAAAAACTGTTTAGGAATGTAAACTTTCACTGACTAACCAATAACATGATACAAATCTGTCATTAGCAGAGTAAAGGGACTCTTGTCTTTAAATCATGCTAATTAACATGAAGCAGTCAGGTTCGTAAGACATCTTTATCTAGGGAGCAGCAACGCCTCAAGCCGCCCCCCCCCCCTCTACAAAAAATAAATAATGATGAATCAATATTGATAAATCGATCATGTAGAGAATGAATGCAAGAACCCACAAGGCTTCAAATTCCCCTAAAAGACCCCACCCCACCCCCCCCCCCCCCCCCACCCCAAAAAAAAAAAAAATTAAAAAAAAATCTATATGCATATAATTATTCTAGAAACGCACCTGCTATGAGCTCTAAAATAAAGTAAATCTTATACTGAGTAATCCGACTTCTTCGGCGATAACCCTCGCACCCATCCCCCTCCTTCTCTTCGGCATAATCACCCGAATCTTGGCACGGTTTCAAATAATCGAGAGCAATGAGCAGCTCCTTGTGTATTCTTCCCTAGTGATTCGGGATACCCCTGTCTGGCGAGGCTTCCTGTCAACCTTTCCTGCAGAGTTGAGAGATCTCTTTGACCTTACACTTGGTTCATGATATGTAGAGGATGCAACTCACGCGAGGACAACCTTGTCCCACTTCTGTCCCCTTTGCTAAAAGGTCCTTGTAAGGTCTGACCATGGACCTACTTCGTAGTAGGTCTATGGCCTGACCCATTCAGTATTTCGAGTAAGACTAGAAATTTAAAAGAAAATCATGATTTGTACTGTAGCATCGAATTCATTGAAAAACAATGTCTAGTGCTGCCTTATATGAATCATCAATAATCATCTCTTTTTTCACAACTATGAATTGCATATCCCCCCCCCCCCCCCCTCTCCAAAAAAAGAAGAAAAAGGAAATAAACTCTCTTTGTTAACCCCGCCACAATCTGTTTTGTATTTCTCCTCAAAAACTGACTAAAAAGAGAGGCTCATGATCGAAATAATTGTTTTGTTTTGGTGAACTTATCTTAGCCCTTTTAAGGGTGAGTCATCTAAAAAGGAAGTGTGGAAATCTGAAGGAATCGAATCTAACTATCTTTCGGCAAGACAACAATGGGTTCGAATTTCCATTACGATGAATAATTTCAGAACAAAACTTTGAACCCCTTTTTGAACCTCAATACTATACATAATTTTGTTTTAAACCTCAGCGTGATGAAAGGTATTATCTTGATTAGATGTTCGTGAGATACCATGGGGGTCATTGCCATCCCTTGATAGAAAATGAGGTAATGTTTAGGCTAATCGGTGATGAAGCCTAGCTGTAAGTGTTCCTCAAGTGCGGTCGATTGATGATAAATCACTGAAAACATCTGAAACATTTTCCAACTTACCTCTTTTTTGGAAATGATAATCAAAAATCAAGGGCTAATTATTATGACCATTCAAAGTAGATATGTGCGGAATTAGAGCATTTTGCCTAATCTTTGTGGAATGGGTTTTGACTGGCATATGTTGGATGTCTTGCCAAATGCAATTGGTGCCGGGCGGGGATTCGAACCCTTAACCATTGGACTCAGAGTCAAGTGAATATACCACTACATTATGAAATTATTCTGAGAAAGAAATACAATAATTAAATGATCATAACGATGAATATAATCTTACCATGGCATGTAGCTATACAAACAAAAAAATTATTTTACATTTTCTGTGAATCATTTTACCTTATCATGTAGCTTCAACTTTAATGCTTTATTTCCTTTTTTTCTAATTTTTAAAGCAAAATATCCCATCGGTATTGAGACAAGGGAGGGAGAATTTGGTTTGATCTTGAATTATTCATGTGTTGTTTCTCTTTAACAATGTGAAGCAAAAGGAGTGAAACAAATATCTGACAGTCTGTAATACTTTGGTGAACGTGAGTAAAGGTTTCTCCCCTCTACCAATAAGATGATAAACTTGAAGATTCCCATCATTAGTCTGGTGCTTTGTTTCTATTAAAATTACCTTGATATTAGTACTGTTACATTGAATGGTTAGTTTTGAAATATAATAATTATAAATGGCCTTGCATATGTAGCCCTACAAAATTAAGCATACACCTTTTTCCTAAATAACATTCTTTTCCCTTCTTTGAACGTCTATTGCTTATCTTTCCTTTAAGTGCATTTTCCTTTTTCCATTCTTCTGTAACCCTTTTCTAACAATTTCATTCCTTCTCTCGTTTGATCATAGTAACTATTTACCAAGTTGCCATGAAAACAGACGTCACAACGAAACTAATGATATTGTAAATTTGATCTGGTGAATCACCGCGTGCAGATGGTCGAAATTAAGTTATTGTAATCTTCTTTCCTCACTTTCTCCGCACAGATGAAGGCGTTTATTGCGATGTGTGTGGCGGTTGCTCTAGTGGCATGCATAGAAGGTAATATATTTCTTTATATTAAACTTCGCATAAATCTAGATATGTCATCGTTCCGAACTTAATACGATCGAATCGATAAATAGATTATTAATGTCAAACTGGTAAAAGCAACATGCAGTACATGACTGTCCGTTATTATACCAATTGATGCTCACATCAAAACGTATTCTAATCATTGGAGTTGAATCCTAAATTCTAATTGATGATAACAAAACTGGGATCTACATGTCAGATATTCAAAAGGCATTTAAATTTTCGAATCTTTGTAGTAGAATGTTTTCGTCATCGTACACATCTTTAGATGTATGTTGAAGAATTGTGAACATCGTGATTTTGACAATGATAAGTATAATTCTCAAATCACCAGCAATAATCTTATCCTTTATTCCTCCTCTCCCAAACAGCTCGGCCTCTAGGTAAGTATATCCCTGTTAACATATACATGTATTTCTCTCCGTAACTCTCTCTCTCTCTCTCTCTCTCTCTTTCTCTCTCTCTCTCTCTTCATATGTATATATATATATATATATATATATATATATATATATATATATATATATCTAACATACACACACACTCTGGTACCATACACCATTTTACATCCACCTCTTCTAGTTAATTTATTTCTATATAATTTGGGCATAAGTATAGGAAGTGTGTTTTATTAAAATTAACTTGCTTATACAACACTACGATTAAACCCAAAATGATCGTGTAGCTTTTTACTAACCATTCTCATGACTAGCATACTTTTTATACTTTTTTTTCAGGCTAGATAAATACATAAAAGGGTTATATAAGTACAAAAAAGGGTTTGATGTTTCTAAAATTTTTCGAATAAATTATACAAATCTGATAATGACTCGTTCAAGGAGGCACGTACATGCAATAAATCTAGAAGAGAAAGAATAAGTGACTTTTAAAGAGGGATTGTTCTATGCTATGCTCTATTCTTGGAATGCACTTCAGGTAACCAGCAGCGGCAACGGCAGCAATGGAATCCTCAACAGGAGGAAGGTGAACAACAATTGGAGGAGCAGGGAGACGCACTAGAGCGACAACAAGAAATGCAAGAGCAGGAGCAGGAGCAATATGAGCAACAGGACCAACCGGAGCAACAAGAACAACAAGAGCAAGGAGAACAACCCGAGCAACAAGAACAGCCGGAGCAAGGAGAACAACCCGAGCAAGCTGAGGCCAGTGATGGACAGTGGTTTAGCAATTGGTACAACCAGCAGTGGTACAACCAGCAGTGGTACCAGAGCCAACAGCAACAGTGGCCAAACTACAACCAGCAGAGACCCAACATGCAGCGTCAGAGACCTGACTCCAACCAGGAAGCAATGGAACTGCAGGAAGAGATGGATCAACAAGAAGCAATGGACCTCCAGGAACCACAGGCTCAGACTGCTGCAGGAGGTAACACCTCTGAAGAGTCGAACGAGGATGGTGATGGCTCCTTACCAAGTACCTCTCAACTCAGTGCTGGACCTTTTAGCTCTATCTAGACTGAACCTATCACGGTTCGAGATAAATGAAATGTTTAGGACCTCAGAGTAACCGATATCTTTGGTAAAGAATATCAAGGAAAATAAAATCACAATGAGGTTTCTTTTAGTTGTGTGACAAAAAAAACATATTCCCTCCTTAAATTTACAATTTGCCAAATGAATGAGCCAGAATCTGGCATTAAAAAACACCTTTGTTCAATAGTCTCAGTCACAATCAAGAACCAAATGAGCAAATTTGGGAGTGACAAATGTTGCCATCTCTTAGCAATAAAAAGTGACCGATGTATCTATAAAAATGTGAAGTTCGATAGAAGATTGTATGAAATATTATGCAAAAATAATGAACCGCTGTTAGAAAATATGTAATAAATTTTTTCCTTCAAATCCTATCTCTTCGTTTCTTGCCGCTGCATTCTTCAAATATAGCTTCGTAGGTGTTTGTCTATTTGGAGTGCAATTCACATTTTTGCTATGTTTCTCGCGAGAGATGTACATGTAAGTGACTTTCACATTACGGTAAAAGTATTATACCGTTTATGGCACGAGGCAAGCCCTTTACCTTGGGACCTGTTTTGCATATCAAATACGATGTTATATCAATAGGCGATTAAGGTTAACATTTTGGTTTTCAAAATTATTTACTTATTAACAGCATCGCTAAACCATTGGTGATTTCAGTTTGTGGCAAAGGAATATTAAAAATGGTAGTACTTTCGCTCTGGGTCGGGGGGGGGGCTCAGTCAATCGGCATTGCGATACTGACGTAAAATCTTAAAGAATTGACACCCCAAAGCAAAGGGCAGTGAGACGTCTGCGCATGTCCTCTCAAACGTTTTTTAAAGTGAGCAATATTGATGTCGGAAACTAGTATGAGTGCCAACTGACCTGGGATTAGGCAATACTTTCTCGTTTGTATGACGTCATCATCTCGATCTGGTTAATTATGCATCTATTCAATAACTTTATCAAGAAAATACGGCATCAGTGGAACCAATCTCTTGGGTTTTTTCAATAAACTGTAAACTTGTCTTATATAGCTACATATAATCTATCTGGAATGATTTCAAAACGAAGAAGTTTATCCAAATTCTATCCAGGTTGTAGCAAACCTCCTTATATTCTGATGATGATGATGATGATGATGATGATGATGATGATGATGATGATGATGATGACATCACAAACTGAAATCGGGTGATAATGATGATAATGACGATGGTTATGATAATGGTGATGATGATGATGATGATGATGATGATGCAGATGATGATGATGATGATGGTAATAATGATGATAAACACGAGAAGGCGGAGGAGAAGAAAGGGAGAAGGAGGAGAATGTTGATGCAGATGATGTTAACGATGGTGATGATGATGATGATGATGATAGTGATGAGGATGGTGATGATGATGATAAAGTTGATAACGAAGGTGATAATGACGATGATAGTGATGATGAAGTTAAAGAGGAGGATAATGATGATAATGATGATGATGAATAATGAAATAAACAAAGAAATTTAATCGATGAACTCGTGGAATGTTTATTTTCTGAATGTCAATAAGGCATAATGATAAATACACAGGTATATACTCGTGTAGCCAGTAGCGTACGCAGGAATTTTTTCAAGGGGGGGGGGTTAAAATGTGAAAATCGCGCCAAAAATTTCGCAACGACTCAGCCAGCCGCTGAATAAGGGGGGGGGGGGAGCATAATTTGTTTTTGTCCCGGAAATTGGAGAATTGTGACGACCGATATTTCGTTCAGTATGGGGGGGGGGGGGGTATGGTCAGTTTTTTGTCACCCTTTAGCACACAATTTTTTTTTTGTTCTTCTTTTTTTAATAAAAAAACAAATTGAGGGGGGGGGTCCTTCAAAACACACACACACACACACACACACACACAAATGAGGGGGAGTTAAACCCAACCCCCCCCCCCTGCGTACGCGCCTGTGTGTAGCATATCTATTTACATAACATTAACTGATAATTCAAAATACCTACAATAAGCTTCCGCAACTCTCGTGGAAATAAATACAATGCGAAATGAAATGAGAGAATAATGGTTGCGCAGCTTAAATCAAAGTTTCCATTGCTGTCCTTCCTTTATGAAATATGCAAAGGTTGAAGAAATGTCTATAAGCCGGGAATGGAGCCCGGATCACTGGCTTAAATCGCCAAAGCCTTAACCACTAGACCACGGAGACGGGTCAATGGCTTCGGTGACGCCAGATTCAACTGACCAAAAATATTGAAAAGTCTTCAACCTTCATTAATTAATGCCTTTGCTGGGGGCATGTAACTTTTGAACAATGACAAGCACCAAGCACCAAGTCCCATCACCTTCATCCCTCAAAAACTGTGTGACTATTTGACTAAAAAATGAACAAAAATCATAAACAAATCAATTTTGTAGTATGACTGGATTCATTCCTCTTATTCATCTGATAACAGGATTGCATAATAGTTCAGAATGAAGAGAAAAATCAGTGAAGCTAAATTAAATTTAACTTAGTCACTTTCATGAATTCGAGCCATAAACATCAAACCAAGAAAGACGTATGGAATGGTCAGTAATTATTTTGTTATTATTCTGTTACCATGGTCCGTTTTATTGCAATACATCTTGAATTTTGATACATAGGATAACATCAGCTTCATTGATTTATTTCACCCTTGCCAAATATCCCATAGCTACATCCTGTGCATTGGCCAAACACCAAGCGTTTTTAAGGAGTTACGAGTTACATGAATATTGATGACATGTTAGTTTGTGCGCACGCGCAGTAAATTTATCTTTTTGTGTGAGTGTGTGTGTGTTTAAATAAAGGAGGTAAAATATAATGCACCGTTTATGGTAACGTTCTTTTACTTTTCGGTTTTTTCACACTTAGTGTTGTTGTTGTTGTGTTTTTTTAGTTAAAGGGGTATATGAAATAATATGTAGAACCCAAATGTCCATAATACAGTTTATAATACACAAAATCATATTGAAATACTGAGCTAGACTTAGACTTAACCAAGGGCTTCATCATAATCTAACATCGTGCAGGTATTTCTAGAAAAGGGGATCTTTGAAATAATCACTTAATAACTAGCTTTCTTCTTCACTTCCAACAACCAAACGAAACAATTCCTTTGGACAAATCATAATTCTGAGAATTCATCTTCTTTGTCTCTAAAAAAATTATCATGAAAATTTTCCCTTTTTTTGTCTTGAATCCATCTGTGTAATGGAATTCGCTAGCAATAGACACATCAAGACATAATTCCCTATCCACTGAGTGACTCGTTATCCCATTTGGAAATTTCGGCCATTGAACCGATTTTCAATTTTTCATACTTAAGTTTACTGGTTCATTGGATTACTACCTAACCCATTTTGGTGAATTCCTTTAGTAGTCCCTTTATTAAGTTAAGTCTCAGTCGATTTCGATTATTCCATTTCAAGCAAAGAAAAGGAGATGTACGGACCTTTACACAAGACTCCATATTAACTCTCTCTCTCTCTCTCTCTCTCTCTCTTTTAATCTCTCTCTCTCTTTTAATCTCTCTCTCTCTCTCTCTCTCTCTCTCTCTCTCTCTCTCTCTCTCTCTCTTTCATTCTTTCCCTCTCCCTCTCCCTCTCTATGTTTCTGTTTCTGTTAAGCTTCACTTTGCTGAAATTAATTTACCATATTAGATCTAAGTGTGATCATCTCTCTTAGCAATTGAATAGATTAAAACAGGCCTGCTTAAATTTAACTTTGATACTTTTCTCTTTCTGACTATTACCATTACAATGTTTTCAATTATCTTTTTGTTTTGTAATAAAATTGCGTTAAGAATTCTTTTTATTTGTAAGCGTGATTTCCCCCCTTTTTTTTTTTTGTTTACCATGATAAGCAAACAAGCAAACATAGACTTTAGTTTAGTTAAGTATGCGCTCTATATATTAATCATTGTTATTCTATTTTAATTTCTTCGAATATCCGTTAAGTAACAAAACAACGCTGCCTTCGTAAACTATCCCCCATACACAATATATCTACATCCTAACACACACACATAATCTTTCTTGCACATTAAAGACGATATGAAAACGTCACTTAACACCTAGTCGGAAAAGCAGTGGCGGGTTACATCGTATCACGGCCATGCAACATCCCATCAAACCTTGCCAAAAAGGAAAACTTGAACTTACACAATTGAAGTTAAATCGCTAACATCGATTGAGATGTGTAGGGCTGAGGACATATCCTAATGTAACTACTTTGAGATTTCCACCAGCTAAGTGCCTTGCTTTGAATTGTTCGTCTAGCCTACGAAGGTGATAATCAACATCTATATCCAGGGTTATTCCTCCTTTGGGTGCCGTCATCATTCAGCAGCGAAACGTACAAGATTCAAATCATCTTGGACGTCCCCTAGTTTTTGTTAAAGGACAACATCGGTTACGCGTGGGACTAGGAGGTTTAGTTCAAGAACCTGACGCAAGAAGTAAGTCGCCTTCTAAAAGGTTATCACTTTTTTTATTTTCTCACATATTTATTTTAATGATCTTCTATTCTATAATCATACATAAATACAGATATAGATTAAAGAAGAGTTACAGGATACTCATACTAATAGAAATTGTGATATTATTAAAATTTAAAAAGATGAAATATATTGAAATTGTTAATATACCCTTCATTGATATTTCTGTCGTTTACCTTGTGATCTTTATTCCGCACCATATATAAAATTAGCTGAAATATAAATATATATATCTTTATATCATCATATAGACAATTAAGAACAATTTCTTAAATGTTCATTTCATCTCTAGTTTTAAATAAAAACTAGTGATACCTTTGCATTATATGAAATGTGTATAAAATGCATCACTGGTTACATTTTTTTGTATTAGCTTTATAACGAAAAGTTATCATAGCTGGTCCTTAAATATCCATAATGGTATCTAGTATAAACTATGTGGTGGACGTACCATAGTTCCTTTAAATAGCTTTTTTCTGGCAATATTCTTTATTCTCCATCTTTTTCTTTCTTCACTCCCCGGATCCCTCCCCCCCCCCCCCCCCCTTTCTCTCTCTCTCTCTCTCTCTCTCTCTCCCTCCCTCTCTCTCTCTCTCTCTCTCTTTCTCTTTCTCCCTCTCTAAACTGTCAGAGAAGCTGTAAATCCGACACTATAAGAGAAAATAAACACCATCTTCGACCAACTTCGAAAGCACCATGATAAGACTTGGCCTTCTCTTAGTTTGTCTGTTCGTGTACCATCAAGATGTGATGGGGCAAAGTGGTAAGTGTTCGAATGAAAACCCCAACTTACCGTTACATTACACTACATTTGTATTTATGGTACATCTCGGTGTCGGATATTATTATTTGTATTATTATTATTATTATTATTATTTTCATTAATAGAAGGTTAGTAGTAGTAGTAGTATAGTAGTAGTAGTTGTTGTTGTTGTAGTAGTATTTGTTGTTGTAGTAGTAGTAGTAGTAGTAGTAGTAGTAGTAGTAGTAGTAGTAGTAGTAGTAGTAGTAGTAGTAGTAGTAGGGGTGGTGGTGGTGGTGGTGGTGGTGGTAGTAGTAGTAGTAGTAGTAGTAGTAGTAGTAGTAGTAGTAGTTGTAGTCGTCGTCGTCGTAGTATTCATCATTGTCATCATAATCATTAATAGTTTAAGTGCCTAGCAGCAAGGTTGAAGAGCTTTGTTGATGGTTACCATGGTGATCAGAGGGGGACTTCTTGTAGGTTTTTCCTTGTAAAGGGAGGGGTCTTCCGTGTGACAGGGGAGTGTCATCCTCTCCTTCATCTATCCCAAGTTCCCATCTGAACTTTGGTCTTTACTCCAAGCTTTGATATCAAAACGTCAGCGGAAATGTGATGGCATTTCTTGTGATGAGTGCCATAAAGCTGAAAGATGGCCAGCCAGATTTTGTTTGCTGATGATAGAACTAAGTAACATGATAGCATCTGTTGTCATCAAGTTGTCACCGTTCTTTAGATTGTGTTTTCCTTTTTTTTTCTGCTTCCTTTTCTTATATTTCACTCCATATATCTTTCATTGGGCTTCCTTAACAGCTTGCTTTTCTTTTCACTCTTGTCTGCCTCTTCAGTGATAATGGTTGTGTGCCTTTTTTTAATTTTTCGCATTCCATAATGATAATATTGTTCGTAACTTCTTCTTTTGTTTGCGGAATGATTCATAACATAACCTTGTTAATTTCATGAGGTTCTAGTATCATCAATCAATGAAAAAATTCCTGCTATATTATATAGGTGTAAGTTGGTCTAGCGGTACCTCCAATGTACGGTCAGCTCTCTGTCTTGGCCTACAAACTGACTCCGATAATATACTGGTTCGAAACCGAGTCTCGTCTTTCGGAAGGCGACGATAAAGGTCGTTCCTTTATGTAATAATTCGATCTGATTGAAATACGTGTGGGCATGAAGGTATGTCTAAGCTCTTGGTCTGTATAAACCTAATAAAACATACACGAAAAATTACATCGTGCATCTTTGTTGACAATTAGTGGCCAGAGTTTTCCAAAGTCCATTTAATTTGATATAGCTAGCATGTACGTGAGACACAAACCTATTTCTTTGTATTTGCATTAACTTTTTTTCATTAAATGTCTTGCTCAGATTGCTAGAAATTAAACATGATTTGAGTTTCCTAATTAGCGTATCATGGGACGTCATTTCATAAGGAACTCTTCTAATTTTAGCATTCATGTGGCAGTGTTCCAACAGCTTGAATACTTTTGGTGAAAAGAAGTATCAAGCGTGTTCAACTAACATGGGGAAATTCCGATATATGAAAGCTGTATTTCCAGAGAAATATCTTTTACAATGAAATGTAAACAGATGGTGAGGAAAATAGAGAATAGGATAGAAGAATAATGGCCTATATATACTGCATTAATTTTCTTGGACCGAGAAATACAAATAAATCGAACACAGAGTTTTGGGGAATGAGCTGATAATGGAATGTATTTGACATACAACGATATATATAATGTTCAACAAATTTAAATTTGAACGCTTTGATTGAACATACATGAATAGATTATTGTAAATATTCACATCAATATATGTGTTGTAAGTTTCATCGTAGTAGTAACATTCTACCGTCCCTTTATAAAAAAAAACACACCGACGAGTTGCACTTTCTTTAAAAGGTTAACCTAGTAATAACAAAAACAGTCTTGCAGTCCAAATAATAAACTTCTGGAGAGTTCTACTTTTCAAGAATTCCCTGGGTAGGAAGTGGGGTATGCCAAATTTCCCTTCAATGACAAGCCATAGAAAGAATCGAACCGCTCATGTGAATACCACTAGGGTAGTCATTGTAATTTAAGGGGCAAGGGGCAGTTTGCCCACTCACACAAATTACCGACAAGGGAATATATACCTGACTTGTCACTTAAGTGAGGGAGTTATTGCAAGGTAAATAATCTTCAAATAGGTTAGGAAGCCAAACTTTTAAAGAAAAAATGAGGAAATTGGGTTCACATATCGCCTAATAGGAATTGCCTAACAAACTAATATCTTGAACGGATTCATTGTGTTCAGGGTTTGAAATGAAGTTATCCTCAAAGTACCATTGATTAAAACGCATTATGAATACACCTGACTTGAAACTGTAATTCAAAATTAAATGTGTGATCCAATTCTTTGCCCAAATAACTATAGATTAATTGCACTTATTTCGCAAATATCGAAATCAAAGTCATAAAATTTACCACCTATACCACCTACGCCCCTCCCTCCCTGGTACACGCATTAGGTGATTTTCTTGCTAAAATACGGGATCAACAATGGCGCAGATGTCCCCCCCCCCCCCCCTCCCCCTAACAAGGTCCAGATGCGTCACTGTGTGTGACATATTCGCCAACTTATTCTTGAAGCCAAATTTAAGCAGAGCCACGCCTAATGGTGATGCGTGAAGAGTTGGCTGAAGGGAAGATGTTATTTGGAACATTTGACATGATGACGTCAAAGAAGGGAGCTGGGTGCGATGCAAAGGGCCATTTAATGATATAGAAGGGGGAGGTCCTAGGAAAGAACCCACAGGGAATGGGAAAGAAAGAAGTAGGCGGAGGAGAAGAAGAAGTAGAAGAAGAGAAGAAGAAGAAGAAGAAGAAGAAGAAGAAGAAGAAGAAGAAGAAGAAGAAGAAGAAGAAGATGAAGAAGAAGAAGAAGAAGAAGAAGAAGAAGAAGAAGAAGAAGAAGAAGAAGAAAGAAGAAGAAGAAGAAGAGAAGAAGAAGAAGAAGAAGAAGAAGAAGAAGAAGAAGAAGAAGAAGAAGAAGAAGAAGAAGAAAAGAAGAAGAAGAAGAAGAAGAAGAAGAAGAAGAAGAAGAAGAAGAAGAAGAAAAAGAAGAAGAAGAAGAAGAAGAAGATGAAGAGAAGAAGAAGAAGAAGAAGAAGAAGAAGAAGAAGAAGAAGAAAAAGAAGAAGAAGAAGAAGGAGGAGAGGAGGAGGAGGAGGAGGGAAGTAGAGGAGTCAAAAGAACAGCTACAACAAGAACATGAAAAACAAGGGGCAAGAAGAAGAATGAAGAGAAGAAACAGATAAGAAGAAGAAAAAGCATTGAAAGATTTTTTTTTTTAATCAAACACAATGAAAATGAAGAAGAGGGGTAAGTAAAACGCGCAGGAAAGGGGGGAAACTTAATAAAAAAAAGTCGGAAATTTAAGATTTCTCTTGAAATTTTCAGTTGTTAACTCCCATGACCGTGACATGGTTATGCCTAATTTCCGTGTCTGCTGGAGTGATCTTCCTCTTCTCAAGAGACATGTGACAAGAAAGCATTGAGGAGGACGGAATAGAGGATCAGGGCCAAAAATAAGGAGGAGGAGAAAGAAGTAGAATAAGAAAGAAAAAACGAATAAGGAAATTAAGAGGTAGAATACGAAGAGAAAAGAAGGAAAAAGAAGGAGAAGGAAGAGTGGAAGAATAAGAAAAATATAAGTAGGAAATAAGAAGAAGATGACGAAGAAGAAAGAGAATATATTTATGAAGAACAAGAATAAGAAAAACATTAATAAGGAAAAGGAGAAGAAGAGGATGGAGGGAGATATTTTTAAAAGGTGAGGAGAAGAAGAAGAGAAAAAGATCAAGAAGAGAATAAACAGAAAAGGGAAGCGGACCCTTTTGGAGCTTTAATTTGAAGAAAAAAAGAATGTAAATGTATGTATCATTTTATCTGAAAATCAAATTAGAAGCGTAATAAGATGATCGCTCTCGACCCGTCAAGAAATTAAGGTTTGTTTTCATCAGCCCGAGTTGGCCAAATAGCCCGCTATTTTGTGATCCGGGAAATTAGACCGAAGTTAGGATGACAATCCACTTCCCAATGACGTACACTCACCTTCAGACGGAAGTCTCTTAATCGACGGTTGCCAAGGATGACAATGACGACGACATCATGTCCGACATCGAGATTAGATCATGAAGACGACCACCATTGTTGTGTCATTTATCATCATGTTTTCCCAAAGAACATAGACGGTCTTTTGATTGGAACTTTACGGCCCGGGTGTTAATTCGTTTCCTGACATACGTTAGCCATTTATCGTAGATAACATTGTTAAATGGGATGTGACATTATTCATTGTTGCTTATGATCATTGTTTGATATATTTTTGAAAAGGCATGCGATTATTCAAAATGACCTTTCGGACGCCAAAGTTAATAATTATGATCAATATAAAATGTGCTTTATCATTTGTCATGATCGCGATGATGACATGGATGGTGACGATGTTTTTCTCTGTGATATTTAGCATTTTTATTGGGAATATGGATGTCAGCAGTAATAGCTGCATATTTAGTATGGCAAAGTTGCACAAAAATCTAAACTATTAGAAAGAGAGGGTGGTCAAAATAACATTATACCATTTAATTCAGGTTAATACAGGCGATTTTTTAATTTTTTTTGTTTTGTTATCAGGCACATTTATATTTTTATAAATTGCGAAAATAGCCACAGATAATTGTTGACAGCTGATCAAGCAAGCAATCCCTGCAAGGAAAAACCCAATAGTCATATCAAATTGATTGTTGTTGCTGTCATTTAAATATTATTGGTTTATGATATCCTTCATTTGTATCAACTCTAGTATTTTAAAACGATATTTCGTCTTTCTCCTTCTGTAATTTAATTAACCTACGTTATCAGATTGTCGCCGAATAAGACGACGCTGTCCGTACAGTACTCGACGTAGCCCGGTTTGTGATACCAACGGTCGAACATGGAATAGTCACTGCGCCCTCTTGCGAGCACAATGTAATGATCCCTACCTCTACGTACAGTTGGCATACTCAGGAAAATGTATAGACCAACAAATGAGACGGAGACAACCAATTTACCAAGGTAAAAAGATGGCGTTTTGTGTCCAGAGAAACAAAATTAGGGGCAGAAATTAAGTATTGAGAAGCCCTTGAAACTCAGATTATCTGCTTATCAGACGAAGATTCGTTAGCATTTAATCTGTAGACTCATCAAGAGAGTAAACGAATAGAGGAAGATGTTAATGTAGAAATATCTGGAAGGGAAAAAGAGGTATAGAGAATACAAAATAATAGGACATGAGTTAAAGCAACATAAGGAAAAGAAACGATAATGCATAAGGGAAACAATTTTACTGACGATTATACCAACTAGTTAAAAGTGATAATTTGAACGAACCTCAAAGCTCATGCAGTGCTATGTCAAAAATCACACGCCACTTTTTGGTGTAGAAATGTTACATATTAATAAGTTGGGATGGTGACCCATTTGATTTATCCCACTTAGGCCTACTATATAATATGACTGCATTGTTGTATTATTTACTTTACACATTTATTTACCATGTATTTTATGTGTTGATTTCTTATTCATGGATTGATAAATTCATTATGATGAATATTCAGGTGTAATATCCTTGAAAATGTGTGTTTTCTTACAACAGGTTCGGCTGCTTCTGCAACAAGTAGCAGTGAGGAGAGTGCCGAAATGATTGGTCCTACAGTACCCGCCATTGGACGAACTACAATAAAACCAGCAAATAGTAAGCAAGTTTGTTCTTTGCTCTCCCCTCCTCCTCCCCTCTCTCCTTTCTCTCCCTCCCTCCCTCCCTCCTCTCTCTCTCTCTCTCTCTCTCTCTCTCACTCACTCTCACTCTTTCTAATATTTTCTTACGTTGATTCATATTGCAATGGAAAATGGGTTGCTTGCTGTTAACTTATAAAATGACTTTAGCGTAATTACATTGGGTAATAAAAAGAGGGCTGGATAAAACTCCCCACAAGGGGATGTTTTCTTGCTCAGTTTTTGAATTCCGTAGTCTCCGTCTGGGAAGTACCTACAAATGTACCAGATATCTTGAAAATGTGTATTTGAAACAAAAATGACATGTTCCCACGTTTGAAACTTGAGCAGTAGTTAATTTAGGGCAGAAAACAAAAAAAAAGTTAAGAATTAGGGAGAAAGATAATTACTTGGGTAGCTTCAAATGCTCTTCAACCATAGATATTTTCCTGGCTTCAAACGGTGAGGAGAGGCGTTATCTTATGTTGGATACCCTACTGCTCTCCAAGTATCATGTGATCAAGATAATGCTCTCATTTTCCCCTCATAATTCAAACTCATCTTCCTCCATTTTTAGACCCTACCCTTGCACCTGACGGTGTCATGCCTTACCCATGTCCTCTGCAGTGTGCCCCGAGCACCAAACAGGTCTGCGGCAGCGACGGCTACACCTACGACTCCGTGTGTCATATGAGGATGGAAGCATGTCGTACACGAGATCGTTCCCTGATCGTCAACTACAGCGGGCCCTGTCAATGCCCAGATGTGTGTCCGATGGTGTACGAGCCTGTCTGTGCTGTGAGCAGGAGACTTGGGTTCCCGAGAGAAAGGACGTTCACGTCTGTATGTGAGATGCAAAAGGACGCTTGTAGACACAGTGATAGGTCAATGACGATGTCATATCAAGGGGAATGTTTAACTGCATTGCAAGGTACACATTCAAAAGTATTCATTCTGAATAAAACAATTAAAGAGAATTTTAAGTTCTGGGAAAGATGAAAAATAATTTGTGAAATTTTCATCTTTTTTTATATAAGTGTGGAAGAGTATCATAGAAAAAAGATCCCCTGGAAAGGATGGCTCTTCAAATGCCCTCTTTTCGAAATATGAGAATTGACAGCTAAAGGTTGTGGACTACAACTTTCAAGCCACAAGTTTGTGTAGTAAGATATACACATTTCTGTGACCTCTACCAAAAGTAGTCCAAGCTCTTATCATTCTGATGATTCCAAAACGTCACAGTATACACCGATACTTATCGGCTACATGATCAGCATTTCCCAATTGCTTCCACATTGCTTCGTTTACAATGCAATCGTGTGACCAAAACTCAACTTTATCATACTACAAGTCATGACACAAGTCAAACAGAAAACACAACGCAAGTCACAGTGGCGTAGCTACGGAGGACTAAGGGGACACGTACGCCTCCGCCCCCTACCCCATCGAATAGCGAAACAAAATAAACGAAAGAAAGCAAGAAAGGAAGAAGAAAGAAAGAAAAGGAAAGGGAGATGAAATGGAAACGTCAACAAAGACTAAAAAGAAGATGACCTCCCGACACCTTCCCCACAATTATTGATTGCCATCTTTTCTCAAAATGAATCCACTTGTAGTGATACCAGTGCCCCCCCCCCTCTCTCTCTCTCTCTCTCTCTCTCTCTCTTACCTTGCCATAATGCACAGTGCACCCTCGATGTCTGAAACCACGTGACATCTCTGACAAGTAATCACGCAAGTCATAACGCACCTCATTAATGTACCAGGGATACAACATTTCACTTGATTCTTTTCCCGGGGCATCATCTTCCGCCGGAAAACTCGTCAGCCCTTCTAAGCCCTGAAAGGGGAAACTAAAGATGTTTGTCAATCCCGATAGTGACCCCCCCCCCCCCCAGATCTGTTAATGTGTAGTATACACGGGATCATTGATGTGAATATGGTATTAATGCCATCGGGGATTTATCATGTTTTGTACATTCACTGATAATAGAATTACTATCAGCTCCGTTGGAATCTAAATTCTCTCAAATGTTCATAATTATCATCACAGACAAAATAAAAACGACACTTTCATGTAAGCGGTTTCACAAATGAGATGCCTGTTAGATCTGATGTTTTCTTATTTTTTATGAAATATAAGCGAATAATGTTTTCAAACTTGAGCTTTTACCCTTTACCCTTAATTATGTGAACGTTCTTTACAGGACAATGCAACTTTCCGTGTGACACGCTCTATGAGCCTGTGTGCAGTACCAAGAACGTGACATATCGAAGCCAATGTGAACTGAACCGTCATAAATGTATCATTCGTGATAATACGATTGATGTGGCTTACATGGGGGCATGTCCCCACGCCCCAATAAGTAAGTAATGTAATCTAAGTAAGATGGTGTTAATGTCATGTATAGTTTTGGTAAGCTCTAAAAAAATCTTGTCATCAGCCATCTTTGATTTTAGACCATGAATAGGCTATAGGAAGATAGTAGCAAAGCTAAACTGCTGATTTCTTTCCTCCTCAAGTGAAATAATGAACAAATGAGAGGTAGAAAAGCTGAATATGCCGGGAGCCACCAGGGTGGAAGGATCCTAGTGTAGAGGAATGTATAGCTCTTATCTAGCATTTCTTGCAGATATTTAGACTACAATTAATCGGATATGAAGGGTAGAGTACCAAATGATGTATCTTTTGATACAAGAAAAACGACATGACAGTGATGAGACAAAATTTAACACTTTTTTGTTTCAATTTCCTTTTTGCTACCAAAACTGTAAGGAGCTTTAAAAGGTTTGAGACGCAGTTTTAACATAAAACGTGTTTGCGATTCTATAAAATAGTGAAACAGGTATTGATTTATCGAAATGGAGATAGTTCCCCCCCCCCCCCCCCCCACTTCTAAATCATTGTTTATACTGTAGTTTCAACAAACCTGTATAGTACTGCGAATTATGCATACATTCAAATTTTATAAAAAAAATATTTAAAATAAATATGAATTATACTAAAGTGAGATCAAATAGTAAAGCTTACCCCCCCCCCCCCCCCACCCCCCCCCCCCCTTCCTCCCCATCTTAGAGATGGGTTGATCCATAGATGGCGTTGTATATTATACGTACTATCGCTGGATCCCTAAAATAAATTTAAAAATCCCTGAAGATAAAAAAACGAATTTAACGATCTTCGCAAAGAGGGGGTACTTTTAGACGTCTGTAAATTGCACAATGACCATCTCGAAGACGTTTTAAGATTTATGTCGAATCATGGACATTTTGATCGCTGTTAACGAGTCAATCATTATAAGAATGACGTTATAGAAATGCCTATTATTATTATTATTATTATTATTATTATTATTATATGTATCTTTTTAACAGTGATGCCCCAAGGGAGATTATTTGATTTTTTTTTTCTTCTTCATATAACTTTATACTGGAGAAGGAGACACAATATTCCATGAGATTGGTCGAAGATTAATATATATTTACAGATGACTTTCAATGAATGCTTTTATCAAGTCCTGTAATATGGAAATGGTTACTTTACAATTTTCTTATAATTATGAATGAATGCTTTATCGTATTTTCTTAGGATGTCCAAACCTGTGTAAACCATCTAAAGATCCTCACTGTGGTAGCGATGGAGTGACGTATCCTTCTCTGTGTGATTATGGGGTCGCAGCTTGTAAAGACCCCACCCTACGGCTCAGATACGCAGGACCTTGCGTCCCAGGGACTGTAGGTGAGTGATCAATCTTCTACACGACATTAACGGTGGTTGTGGTGGCTGTGATGGTAGCGTAGTGGTGGTTGTGCTGATGGTAGTGGTGGAGGTTGGTAATGGTTTCGGTGATGGTGGCGGTGGTGGTGGTGGTGGTGGTGGTGGCGGTGGTGGTGGTGGTGGTGGTGGTGGTGGTGGTGGTGATGTAACAGTTATTGAGGGAATGGGGAGACTAAAGATCTTCTCTGTATGGGAATGATTAAAATCCCCTACATGCTCAAGGCCCAGTGCACATAAAGCGTTACTTGAATTACGCCCTTCAATGATCCTCAAGCATATAAGTGCACAGACAGGTCCAATGGTGGTTGTGGTGGTGATGGCATTGGATTTGGGGTGTGGGATGGGAGCTGCATGTCTTGTAGCTCTGACAATCAGGGCCCTGCTTGCGTCTCAGATGTAGAGGATGAATAATTAAAGTTAGTCAGTATAAGTGCTATTCTTAGTGATCATTCATCTGTATTTAGGTTCATTTACACAATAATCATATAACAGATTTGTTTCGTCTTCATTTTCGATAGACCCTTGTTCTCGGATATGCGATAGTTTTGAAGACCCTGTCTGTGGGACAGACAGACAAACCTACTGGAATCCTTGTCTGCTCCAGCTAGCTTACTGCAATAATCCTTCTATCACGTTGGCTTACCGGGGAATGTGTCTAGGTTCTACCTCGAGCAACAGAGCCCGCAATACCGGAAATGTCAAACCATGTAAGTTGCAATGTATTTGAAATAACAAGTGAATAAAGCTCTAATGACGATGGAAATTGGAAAATGAATAACGCTGAGAAATAATATAGTATTAATGACTGCTTTGAGAGAAATAGTTGTTTTATTACGCTCAAGGGAAGGTTAGAATTGTGCTATTCCCCGAGGCTTGCCGAGGGAATAGCCCAATTGTAACCTTCCCGAGAGCGTATGAAAACAACTATTTCTCGAATATTAAAGCAGTCATTAATACTTTTATATGCCGAAAAAAAATAGACTAAAAAATAAAAAATAAAAAATAATTTTTTTTTTGTCGAAGGTGAGAGTCGAACTCTTGCGTACAATGAGTGATAAATCTTACACCAACGCCTTACACCACTCGGCCATCGCGCGCTGTTCACGAGCTTGGCAGTTTTGTACAATATATACATTAAAGTGGATTGAAACCGGCTTCGGCGTGATGAATGCTTCGCAAAAGCACCCTTCTTTTACTTTTGCAATGCATATTGGCACGAACTTAGATCAAGATCTATCGGCAGATGTTGTTTTTTTGTTTTTGGAAGTTTATTTTCGTCTTCATGTCAACAATGCAAGATAAAATTGTCGGTAAGATCGATCGAGATTCAATTGTATTGAAATTACCGACCAATCCTTCGCACACATACGGTATCCTCGATCGCTCAAACCATTTTTTAACATGTAAACCTATGGGGTAACCATGGAGGCTGACCTATTTTTTTAATAACCATGGTTATTAAAAATAGTAAATGTTTTATGCATGGTTACCGGGAATTTTACAGGAACAGTTGAAGTTTATGAATGCAATTCGACCAATCAGATGGCTGGATTTCTTAAGTGAGGTATATAATAGACTTTAATTCTTGTTCTCCCCTAAGAACAAAATAGTTTACACAGCTGATGAGTTGTGTTGTGTGCCATCTTTCCCATCCCACGTACACGATAATTGCCTTCCTTCCCCCCCCCCCCCCCCCCCCCCCCCCCCCCCCCCCCCCGTAAGGACTCCGGCCTGTCTGGATACGTCACTGGTATACGTATTCTCTTAGGGCTAGAAACGGAATTTAGAGGCTTATTATCCTTTATTCGAATCAAAGTCCTCCACCTCTAAACTTTCTCAGGGAGAGGAGATGCAGACAACAAAAGTAATCCAAATTGTATGTCTATGTCTTCATTTTAAAAAGGGTTTTGACGCTCCTAAAAACATCTCCGTTGAATTATGTGCACAGGATTACTGGGGTGCACACGAAGCAGATGAATTGGCTCGGTTGCAAATTATGCCCCATACCTCAGTGAAAGACAGTAGTATGACTATATCAGCAATATGATGACTTATATATGCGAATGAATATATACTTGTAATTCTCTTAAAACACTTATAATAGGGCTTTATTACTTGGAGAATACCTTGAGCATGTAACGCTATAATCCCCTTCTCATTAATTGTTTTTATTTTTGCTTCACAGCTAATGATCGAATAGGTAACTCAGCATAGATATCTCATAGATAATTGGACTGTAATTGATTTTTTTTTCAAATCATCATACTTCGAACTGACCTTAAAGTCAGACTTTCTTGTTGGTATAGTTATGATTTATCAGGGGACATTTTAATTCTCCCATTCCCTTTTCAAAACATTGATGTTGTTAACGATTGATCTTTGATTTTCTTTATCATAGACTACACCGCTTATGGAGCAAAGAATCCATTTATGGGATTCCCATAAAAATACTCGTCTTCATGTCATCCCGAAGGCCACTATCTCGAGAAGAGAATTCTACTGCTAATGGTTCTACGGCACAATCATGTTCCTGTGACAATATCCTCAGTCGAGGGCTAAAAGTAACAAAAGAAAAGGAAGAATAATAGTTTGAATAATTTGAACAAAGTCCGGTTGTATCATAGTATATGAAATTAAACCCCTCCTGCCTATGGTGATTTGTATATCTAATATGGTTATTATTATTTTTATTATTATAATTATCATCATCATCATTATTATTGCAGTATCTTTTTTGTTGATTCGGGCACCGGTATATTACGTAATCATTAAGTAATTATTATGGTGGGAATCATCAAAAATGAGAAAAATGTGAAGAATTATTATTTATTATTTTTTAACCGGGATTGTTAAAAGTTGCATGTTGTAGCCTATAGGATTATATATGGACTATAAATTGTAACGCGTGTCAATTAATCTAGATTCTCTTTTTCAACATGAATTTCACTTCGTCTATGATTGCTAATGATTACAATGCGTTTAAGATATTAATATAAACTTATTGTTGTGCCTCATTGTTTTGATCGTCCACCTTCTCTTTCACATGATGTTTAAGGAATGATTTCATTATTAATATAATTATCCATATTTTATAGTGCATTGGATTTTTTGAAGAAATAAAAATGAGATTGAATAATTGCGAATTTTAAATGCTGTGAAATGTTCATTTTCAATAAATATAAATAAAAAAGGTATTTCCGATTACTTGAATAGTTTGTTTTTCTTTAATGAAATCAGTATTACTCATTTCATTAAAATTTCACCATGTTTCAAAATGAATAGTAGTCTTGATGATCTTAACCTACATCGTAGTGAATGAGAGGTGACGTACACTGTTGGTCATAATGGTGGAATTTTTTTTTTTACCCCAATTTATGGGATGATTTTGACAATGATTTATTCCTACTAGATCTAGATAATAGTATACATTCGCAAATTATATTGAATAATAATTTGCCAGTGTTTTTTTTTCGTCACTGCTAAAGCATGTGTGTGCTACTATGCTTATCAACTAGGGGACCTACGTCCTTAAGTCATAACTGACAGTAATGAGGATTAATGCCTCACAAAAGGGCACTAATGAGGATTAATGCCACATAAAAGGGCACTAATAAAGCATATCGACACGGTTTTGATCCTGGGGGCTCACAGTAACGAGGCAATTGCTTATCCACTGAATCATGACTGTACACAGCGGGGGCTAGGGTACGTAGCCGCCCCCACAAATACAAAAAAACAAAGAAAATGCAAAAACCCATGTACTTTCCAGACTTCACTGTCAGACACTATCAGTGACTGACTGACTTCATTTTTTTTCCTTTGGTAATAACATACATAACATGAGCTGTAAAGGGTACATGAGCACGTGTCTACAGGCGCGGATCCAGGGGGCCGAGCGGGCCTTGGCCTCCCCTCCCCCCCCCCCCCCCGCCAAAAAAAAAAAAAAAGGAGAGAGAGAGAAGGAAAAGAAGGGAAAGGGAAAGAGGAGAGAAAGGGAAAAAAGAAGAGGAAGAAGAAAAGAAAAGAGGGAAGAAGGAGAACGGGGGGAGGACTTGCCTCCCAGGCTGTTGCCCCCCCCCCCCCCAATCAAAAAAAAAAGAAAAGAAAAGGAAGGAAAGGGAAAGAAAAAAGGAAAAGAAGAGATAAAGGGAATGAAAAAAGAGGAAGAAGAAAAGAAAAGAAGGGGGATATCAGTTGCAATTTTACCGCCAACAAGCTGTGGATCGGGGGGGGGGCAAAAGGCCCTTGCCCCCCCCCCCCCCCCCCCCCCGTCCCCGCTAAAAAAAAGAGAGAATGAATGAAAAGGAAAAGAGGAGAGCTAAAAGGGAACAAAAAAGAGGAAGGAGAAAAGAAAAGGGAGAAAAGGAGAGATCAGTTGCGGTTAATCCCGCCAACAATGTGTGGAGCGGGGTGGGGGTAAAAATGACCTTGCCCCCTCCCCCCCCCCCCCCCCCAGCAAACCTAAAAGAGAGAGAGAAGGAAGGGAAGGGAAAGGGAAAGAGGAGAGAAAGGGAAAGAAGAAAAAAGAGAATGAAGAAAGGTAAAGGATATCAGTTGCAATTTTGCCGCCAACAAGGTGTAGATCGGGGGGGGGGGGGGGGCTTTGTGGAAATAAAATTCAAACGTGGTTTATTTCAAATTCCATAACGGTGGTTTATTTCAAATTCCATAACGGTGGTTTACAAATAATGCTGAAATTACATAATTTTCCGAGATTTTTCCTCACTTTTAAGTAAATTATACTTTTTTAAGGGTTTGTTGGAAAATGACAAATTCCTAAATTTCCAGCCAGGCAAGAAAATGCTTCTTGAGATGCCTACATGTCAGGGCCAGCGGAACAGGTGGGATCGGGATCCTCGAGGCCCCCCCCCCCCCCCCCTCCCAACTTTTTTTGAAAAATATATTAAAGAGAAATAGAAAGAACGAGAGCAAGAAAGAAAAAATAATTAACTGCCAGTGTCACATTATAATGAGGTATAAAAATATGCTCATCTGACCATGATTAAATGCCTAAAACCCCCAGGGTTCTGCCCCCTGGATTCCACCTAGGGCCCTAAGGCGGGCCCTTAGATGCTCATCTGACGGTAATTTAATGCCTAAAACCCCTGATTTCTGGGGGCTCTGCCCCTGGACCCAACCAAGAGCCCTAAGGCAGGCCTCTTGATACTCATCTGACCGTAATTGAGTGCCTAAAACCCTTGAGCTTCCGGGGGCTCCGCCCCCTGAACCCCACGCCAATTAATGACCTGCCAGTGTCACAATTAGGTATCAAAATAATGGTCATCTGACCGTAATTAAATGCCTAAAACCCCTGAACTTCCGGGGCTCTGCCCCTGGACCCAACCAAGAGCCCTAAGGCGGGCCTCTTGATACTCATCTGACCGTAATTGAGTGCCTAAAACCCTTGAGCTTCCCGGGGGCTCCGCCCCCTGAACCCCACTCCAATTAGTGACCTGCCAGTGTCACGATTAGGTATCATTTAATAATGGTCATCTGACCGTAATTAAATGCCTAAAACCCCTGAACTTCCGGGGCTTTGCCCCCTGGACCCCACCTAGGGCCCTAAGGCGGACCCCTGAATGCTAATCTGACCGTAATTTATTGCCTTAAACCCCTGAGCTTCCGGGGGCGGACAAGGTATCAACATAATTTTCATCTGACCGCAGGCGCGTAGCCAGGGGGGGTGAGGTGGTCCTCCCCCCCCCCCCCCAAAAAAAAGAGAGGAGTGAAAAGGAAGAGGACGTAGGTAGAAAAGGGAGTAGACAAAGACATTTTTTGAAATTCAGATAGAATTAAGAGTCGAGAACGGTACAACGAATCGTCTTCTTTCTCTAATAATTTAATAAAACGTCAAAGCTTCCGCGCTTCGCGCAGGAAGGTGGGGTGGAACTTAATTCAGACAAGGATTAAGAGTCGGGAACTGTACAACGAATCGTCTTCTTTCTCTAATGATTTAATGAAACGTAAAAGCTTCCGCGCTTCGCGTGGGAGGGGAGAAACATAATTCAGACGAGGATTATTTTTGGGAACGGTACAACGAATCGCCTTCTTTCTTTAATAATTTATTGAAATGACGAAGCTTCCGCGCTTCGCGGAGGAGGTAGGGGGAAAACTCGCCCCTCCCTGCACCCCCCCCCCCCCCCCCATTACGTCACTGCTGGTCACCATTACGTACCAATATTTGGCTCGTATAATTTCAAATTTGGGCCTCCCCCCTAATAAATCCTGGATCCGCGCCTGCGTGTCTACATCAATAACCCACTTCTTGAAATGGCCAAACTTAAACTGATTGAATCTTTGGACAGCACAAAACGTACACCATTCGGTACAAGGGCCTGAAACCCTTTGGTAAGGCATTAATCCTCATTACCAGGTTCCTCGGAGAGGACCTAAAGTCGTCGGTCTTCTGGTTGCTTACTAACAAGCATTTATTGCTTCTCTTAGCTGTCAGGTAAAATAACCACCACTATCACTTTAGAATTTAACCTTTTTCTTTGTTTGGCCTGCAAATGGGACATAGTACCTTATTTAGAGGAAACCTAAACCCAAAGAATAAGTGTAGGTATTCTGAAAAATGAGATGTTTTCCTGCCCTTTGATGTACAATACGAAAATGTACAAGATATATATAAATGAAGATATTCCTGGCATGATATGGGCGCAGCAATTTTCTTGCAAATGTGACGTACCTGTTGAAGTTGTACATGTATCATGCACCAAGCTTTAGTTGGAAAGAATTTTTAAATCAATAACGAAACCTTTCCTTTTCAATAAAAAAAAATAATAACTGAGGTGATAGAATTTATATTAGGTGAAAAATAAATAATAGGGGCACAATTGTATCAAAATTCATTTATAAATCCTACATTATAGCAGTTGACAAATCTGTTTCATTTATGAGAAACCTTCACCCCAGAAGAGCACTAACTTATTTATGCAATTTGCGTTCTGGCAAATAAAGTACAAAGGATAATAGCAGGTGAATGAAATGCTTCATCACCACGCACGTCTGGGAAAGAAGCATCCATAAATTTGAATACATTTACTTGATAAACGACTTCGCATAATACGTCACATTATCAAGAAAATGGCTATGCCCATGTCGTGCTGAGAAACTGTACTTTATTTTTTCTTTATACCTCTCTCATACACTTTGGTGGGGAATCTTGTAGATTTATGGGCAATAATATAATAAATCTCTCAGAATAAGTAAAGTTATTACTTGGGGTTCGGTTTCGTTTAACAGAACAGGGGCGAATCTGACTGTTTTTTCTTCATATGTCTTTTACTTTGAGCATTAAAACAATCAAGACCGATGAAATTGAATTTAATTCACTCAGTTCAGGGGAGAAAATGTTTTAAACCACGCTGTTTCACATCATCACAAGAATGAGTGTTTCTCTGGCTTGTATGATGTGAAAAAACAATTGTTGCATCAGGTGCCGAATATTTAATAAGAGATGATGTACATCATACATGCATGGAAGGAGTTTGTTCGGGACTTTGTTTTAAAGACCTTGATGCACGACTACATTATGCATGACCTTTGAGCCTTGGACTCTGATACATTCCCGATATATAAACCATGTGAGCAAGATAACAGATCGTTTACTGTGTACACGAAATGTACGCCCACTTATTTGTTATGACAATTCAAAACAATACGAATTTTGATGATTCCATCAATATATATATATATTTCTAGACAGAAGACCCAATGATTATGATAATTGTATACAACAATAGGCCATCCATTCAAGCGATCAATGTGTAGCCTACTCCATGTACAAATATTAAGTTCAATCCGTAATAGAGTCGATGTCTATGAAAGCATTGGCTAGATGCCATTGGACTGGAGTAATATATGACCATGGACTTACTAGTTGGTCCATGATATGACTATCAAACATCACCTGACATTCAGCTCATACAGAGCTGTGTATTGGTCGTCTGTTAATGAAACCTGTCAAAATGGCTGCCAAAATTCTTCGAAATGCGACTTCCATGATCTTACGGAGGACATCTCTTGCGAGGTAATTATCTCTGCATGACGGTTGTTTTCATTTCATTTTTATAAATCGTGACATGTAGGAGAACCAATACAGCAAATCGCATGGTACTATATAGAGAGGTAAACATACCTTGATATACATGTATAACAGCGGCTAGATACCTAGCCATACCCATCTGCTTAGCAGTATACATGTAGATTTTGAAGGCGTTTTAGGGTTTGCATTTTGACAAGTTTATATCAGTAATTTATTCAGAATTCAGAAAAGAAAAAAAAACACCTTTCGCGTCACACGTACCAGTCTACAACGCATTCACGAGGTGACAGAACCATGAATAATTAATAGTGACACTGTAGCAACTGGTGTAAGGCTGTGGAACTACAACATATCGTGACAAAAGAGGATTTTCTATTGACAGTAGCAAGGATTCTTCATCATATATGCAACTACAGTATTTTGATCTATCTATTTTCTGTTGATTTTATAATCAGATTTTAGATATGTTTTTTCTTCCTATGTATTCATCATATGCCAATATTCTTCCATAGTTTCCGCGGACAGACTAGTGTTGCAGCTTGTCAGAACCAAACAGCAGGTTTGCTGTCACGATGGCAATCAACTGTCTCCAATCCAGATACTGAGACCAAGAGGTGAGATCCTCTTCATTTAATCTCTTTACCCACCCGATAAAGGGGGAATAGGGAGGAGGAAGGGAGGAGGAGGAGGAGGAGGAGGGTGGAATGAATGTACTAGAAATTCTACTTAAATGTAAACGCTGAATTTAAGCTCGGTCTGAATTCGAGTTTAATAAGGGAGGTATAGACCGAGATCTTGCCCTGCTTTAATCGTTTCTTTTGCTGAAGGTGACTGAAGTCCTTGCGTCAGGTTTAACTGAACTTAGAATATGGGTCTTTGTCTTATAGGGCGCCCATGGATCAGGCAACTAGAGAAAAAGCAAACTATGAAGCACGGGTGGAGCTTGCTGTGGCGTACAGGTCTGTTGATCATTATGGATTGGGAGAGGGTATCTGCAATCATCTCACCATGAGGGCACCAGGGAGCAATAGTGAAGATGACGTCATGCTAGTAGTGCCTTATGGGCTACCATGGAAACAGGTGAGTCCATGTTCCTATGAACAATTCATTTTAATACATTAATATAGTCTATTTGTTTGAGGCATTTATGAACACTACTGGATCCCTGTTTATGCAGTGGTCACAACTCACCGCCCTTTTTTTGCAGGTACGTGTCCACAGCCGCAGTCGGGTCGCAGGCCGATTCCTGCGATTCGTACGTCCTTCTTACGACTCGTCGAGGGTGCCAAGTAGCGCTGCGCCGTTTGTAAACTGACCAATATCCGACAACTTGGTCATTCAAATTCAATATTGTATTTTGTTAGTTAGATCCATTGTCAATCTGGTATCAGTCTGTAGAAAATCGTAGAAAATCTAAAGGGGGCTCTTGGGGGTATATCTTATCCACCCTAATACGACCGATGCGCCACCCCCAACCCCCCCCCCCCCCCGGTCCCCACTCAGTGTTATTTAGGGTACGTGTATGCCTGTTCCCTCCCTTTGAAAGCACCCCCTATCTCAGGGCTGCCAACATTTCTGAACCCCCTTTCGCGGGCTTTTCCTGCCTTGGAGACCCCCTAAATCCGGAACACTGCTCAATGTAACCGCCTAGCTATATTCAAATTCAAATTCAAACTTTATTGATTTCAATCCAAACAGATAGGATCATTCTCAATTGGATAACAAATATCTATGATATCTATGATTTCCAAGATATTTTATAACCCCCTTTTTAAATTTCTCAGGAGTACAAAGAGAGAGACAGAGAGAGAAAGAGAGAAAACACACCCCTTTTAAAAAAATCTCCGGGTGAAAAGTCAAATACACCCCCTTTTTTTTTTAATGTTCGGGGCTTCGGGCCGGACTTTGTCGCACGAAAAGTACCCCTTTACCGGAGTTTTTGGAAACACGAATGCGGTACCTTCGACCCCGGAGTGGGGGCCGCACATCCCCCCCCCCCCCCCCTCCCCATAATATCGCTGCCTCTCAATACAATGAATCTGTAAATGAGCTCATGAAGGATGGGGGAGCGAGAGGTGGCGCTCTTCTAGTTGATATATATTGAGTGGTTGATTGCCATTTAATCCGTTTGAGGTCATGTCTCCTTGATTTATTACCCGGATCTACTGTCAATCAATTACCCACACGCGACTTTGATCTGTTGCTATTACGTAACACGAAACCAGATTAGTTTTTGACCTCAATCTGAGGACAATACTTGACCTTATGTCGGGACAGTAGTCTAAGAATAGAGGCCATAGTTGGTAAATCTCCTTGTATTAGAAGACTGGGAACTAAAACTTTTTGACGGATATACACTGTTGATTTTATGGAGGTGCTCAACCAGCCCAGTGTCCCTTTTACTAAGAATTATATCATGCATGACTAGAGTGCACGAAGATAAACGTCATTGTCTTTTCATGCCCCTTTCCCACATGTTAGGTCCCAAGTGCACATTCAACTTCAAGTGTCATGAAACTCTTAGAGAGGTGCTTGTCGGAATCGTTTTAATAGACCCGATAAGCACCTTTAAATGTAATAGGTCCTGTATTTTTCAAATCGTATGGCCTGTGCTCGATCTGCAATACCGGCACATATTTTCTTTATGTACTCAAGATAATTATGCATGCTTGTGTTTTAAAAGGACCTCTTGGAAGAACAGCGACATCTAATAGCTCTGAGTAGAGCAATCCAGTATTATTATTTTTGAATAATTATTGTTTGTTTGTGTCTATATGTGTATTATGCTTTTATGCGGAAAATAAATCCAACTAACCGATTGTAAATAATGCTAATGATAAGGGCAAGAACTCGATAATGAAAACAGATAGGCCCTTTCTTCCTTCCTATTACTTCTTTTCAGATACTAGTCAAGAATGTTTATATTCTGTCTAACTACTTCTGTCTAGCCTTTGGAGGAAAGTGCATGCTTGGTCTGCATTATAAATAATAATCTCGAACGTTTGAGGTTGATCTTATCGCAGTGTTTTCTATCCACTCTTTAGGTAACGGCATCCTCTCTGATTGGAATCGATTTTAAGACAGGTGAAAAGGTAGAAGGGGATGGTGTGGCTCTGGAGAGCGCCGTCTGCATCCATTGTCCTGTTCATATTGCTCGATATGAGAAATATGGAACCATTGCTGTGATGCACACACACCAGCCTTACGTTACAGCTTTGGGTAAGACGGTATTAAGTATTATCAAAGTCTGAAAGTTGTGGCATTAAGCGTGCCTTTTCTCAGACTCTTGTACATGCAGTTCCAATCAGTGTCATTCCTCTGTCAAAGCATGTACCCCTCAGCCGCCCCTCCCCTCGGTTGGTCTTATTCCTTGCAGTCAACTCATGTACAAGACGGTATAGCTTTGGAGGCTTGATAAGTCAGTATATGGGTCACCATCATCTTTCTTTACCTCCTCCTCACTATCATGCCACCGGGATTTAATTGTTGACAACCTAAGTTTTCTAACACTTGAACCTAGATTTCTCGGGGGTGTCTGTGACAATCAACAGTAAAAATGGGGAGGGGCGAGGGGGGGGGGCTATATACATCTAAATAAAGTTACTTGATTTAGAAGGTCATCGACCCGCTCGTGATTCCCCTATTATTCCTTCATTTTCTTCTCTTTTCTTATATTTCTCTTTCTTTCTTTTTTCTGCCCCTGGATCTGCCGCTGTAAAATTTCAAACTTGTGCTAATTTTCTCAATTCAACATTCTTACGTTTTTATCCAGCTTGCCTCGATGAACCAGCCCCCTTTGACGAAACAATGTACCAGAACAGCATGCGTTTCTCTGGTCGGATCGCCTATGATTTCGACTATGAAGTGCTAGCTTATGAGATGGATGAAGGAAAGAGACTAGCTGGAGCATTAGGAGATCGAGATATCTTGATCATGGGACAGCATGGCCTCATGACGGTTGGACAGAGAGTATGTGATGCCTTTGATGCGCTCTACTACATGGAACGAGCTGCCCAGATTCAGGTTGGTACATTCACAAAGTGGGTGTGGTTTAAGAAGCTGACACCTTTTGCCTGAATATGAAATTTCAGATTTCAACACACAATTACTAGCTCATCATAACTCAAAGATGATTATATCGCTATATGCAGGGGCGTACGCAGGATTTTTTCAAGGGGGGGGGGGGGGTTTTAAAATCTGGCCCAAAATATTTTGCTCCCGAAATTTTTTTTTTGGGGGGGGGGGGGTAAGCGGACACTTTTTTTTTTTTTTTGGTAGTCCAAAAAAAAAATCGCAAGGACTCAGCCAACCGAAAAGTCGCTCAGTGGGAGGGGGGGTGGGGGGGGGGGGGGGGTGGGGGGGGGTTAGAGGACACTTTTTTTTTTTTTGGTATCGAAATTTGAAAATTTGCCATTTTGCTCCGTTGGGGGGGGGGGGTAAGTTCATCTTTTTGAGGTCGGCCATGGGAATTTTTTTTTTTTTTTTTTTTTTATTAAAAAAAAAAAAAAAAAATCCAAAAGGGGGGGGGGTTAGGGAAATTTAGGGGGGGTTTACACACAAAAAATTATCAAAGGGGGGGTTAACCCCCCCCCCCCCCTGTGTACGCGCCTGGCTATATGAGACATGTAATGTCTTCATCCTAATCTCTGGTTGATCAACGATTCCTTTCAGGGGCACGTATCTGTAAATATTGATAGGCAAAAAATTGTTTTATTCAATTTTGTCCGGGGCAAAAAACCATTTCCCCGTTCCATCCACCGTAAACATTGACTTCATCGCCATAGGTACACGTTACGTGTCTTGAATCGGCCCTACAATTCAGTAGTCGGGTAGGGGGATGGATTTTTCAAGATGATTGTGAAAGTAAATGATGATGAAATCTGTTGTATATGTCCTTGAAGTAGGCCTGCACAATACGATGCAGTACTCATTTGGGGCTTTGGAAACAGTGTCGATGTCTATAATAGCCCCCTCTTCGCCTCTTCTACGCACAATGGGTTATCAACATGATCTTATAATACTACAGACTAAAAGTATCATGACATTGCATCGTTTCATTAGTTCTTTGCTTTTAATTATATTTTCGCATCTCTACTGAAATGTACGAACGTGACAATGGCATGTTACGTAAACCGAACATGATTTCTACAGGCATTTCACTAGGTTACTGAATTTATCCTCAAGTAAACTTCTAGAAAGACTTTGCGGTCGCATTAAAACATCAATTATATTACATACCGTTTGAAGCAATCAAACAAGATCATTACATATAAATGTTTTTAGGCATAAAACTAAATTTACTAATTCATACCCAGGAAAGAAATGGGGACCTGGTATGATGACGAAAGCCTTTGTGATAGTAATTGCCATATGCCCTCACGATAGATTACTACCCAGGGAGTGGAGATGAATAGGATGACAGGGGTAATGTAATGCGCTTATCATAGAGACGGTATATCGTATTAAGCACTATATAACTCTAGAATTAGTTATTAATATTATTATTAACGTCCATTATAGTAAGTTTTTTTTTTTTTTTACATGGAAGAGACACTACCTTATGATATCATCATTTATCAATACATTTTAAATTTATATTTTGCAGGTGCTGGTACGATCCATGGGAGGGAAGAGCCGATCATCACCACCTCATATCGTCAAACAAATTGCATCCCACGACTGTTACCCGTATAACGCCATCAGTCACTTCCAAAGCATGTACAAACTATTGGCAGACGAGAAACCTAACTTTAGAGACTGAGTTCATTTAATTAACGGCATATTCCTCGACTTGATAAAAGATTAATATTGATCATTCTACAATCACGTGATTGATCTTTCTCTGAGTTGTTTTGTGATGCATAATATCTGCTTCAAACGCTGAGAAAAATGAATGATAATTATGCCTGGTCAAATTGTTGGTTTTGATTTTGTGGGGACGCTGCCCAGGCTGTCTGATACATTACTCTGTTAAAAGATCAACAAATTGTTTTCCGCAAAGACTTCCGAAAATTCTGAACATTGCAACGACGTATTACGTATTGCAAACATAATTTCTATGAAATATACACATTATGGTATTGGAATTGCCCTTGAGTTGATTTTAGAAGTAGTTTGGATCGTTTGTATAGTTTGACGTTACAGGCCATCAGTAATCAATTGGTGATTTGCACAAGCGAAACCAAAATAATGCCGGTAGTTTTGTAAGGTGATTCCGTGTATATTGTATAATTGTGGTCTACTAACTATATACTAATAATTAATGGAGATTAACTTTTATGTTTATTGTGTACTGATACTAAAAAGTAACATCATTCAAAAACAATGAAGTGTTGTTTTTCATTTTTCCTTCATCTATAAAGGATGAATTAATCTCAGTAATCATAGATTAATGTGACTTTTTATAGCACTAAAATCACATCGTATTAAATGATCATCCGTATGGTTAAGGCTTGATACAGTATCATGAAACCTTGCATGTTTTCTCACAAGGAAAAGTTCGTTAAGGGGGTCGCAAATCTCATAGCTGACAATGATCAGTATTTTATATCTCGGCCTATTCACAATCATAACGCTGAACATTGGCGTTGTGAATAGGTCCAGGAGTAGGGAGGGGTTCTGGCATCACGGGGGCAACAATATTACCAGGTGCATGCAATGCGAATTTACAAGACCATCAAAGGGGGTGGTGGAAGGGATTCCATTGTCGTATTTCCACATTCCTTCCCTCTTTTCTATCATTTTACCTCTTTTTCGGTTGTTCTTCGTTACCATATCGGGCACATCCCCCGTGCCCCTTAGCTACGCCACTGAACTGAGCTGAACTTGATGTTCACGGGATGTTCAGATTGCACCCTTCAATGTGTTTATAAATGAAACAAAACCCAATTTAATGTGAATGAACTGGTCACAAGAAGTTCAGAAACTCCAATTCGATCGATCATGCAACTATATTATTATCATTACATTTGTTATCATATGGAAGCCTGTTTATTTCCCTTCATATTGATGCCCAATTTGTTACAATAGTTTGATTTGGGGATGCTCACTATAGATATTGCAGAAGGAAAGCATTATCATTCTATTCTTTGTAAATAACACAGTGCTACAATCATGATCATTCTTTCTTTTAACGCTGAAAGTGTAAAACGGGTAATAGGAGAGATCCTGCAATCCATGTTGCTCGTATTATATCCTGTTCTGACAAACATGAGGAGATGCCTCGCTGACTGTTGTAGGTGGAATCTTCTATGATGAGGCTATTACTAAATGTAACCGAAAAGTTTGTTTTGTTTTTGCAGGTGGTGGCTGTTTGTTTCGATAGCGCGCAAACATTACGTGCATCCGATCAATGCCAAACTTAATCACAAAATGATATACAATCATACGTACAAGCAAGGGGCATTTTTCAAGTTTATCTTTAACCTTGCATTGTCGAAACCATTCCGGTCACTCATTTAGTAAACCTTAATGCAAATATTGATTCTGATTTCAATTACAATTGATTTCATTGTGAAATACAAAAGTATTTGTAATGATCGATCTACCAATTCAGTTTAATTTCATTCTTATTTCGTATTCGAAATAGTACGTGCATTTTAGATACTAAAATTGTCGATTAAATTACCATTATTGTGAAGTATAGAATTGTGAGGCTTAATGTTCAAGTTCAAAACAAAATAACGTAATCCGATGTTGTTCAGGAAGTTTTACCTCATTGTATTACAAAAAGAGAAAGTATTAACAACAAAAAATCATAACTTTTCCAACTGAGTGATTAAAGAATACATCATGATGACTGCGAAGTGTTCTCAATAATGCAGTCTGGCTTGAGTATTGGTTTATTTTTCTTAAATACTGAAACATGATGTCATTGAAAAACGGAGTTTAAAACTTGTGAAATTCTGATTTTAGTCGCAATGTGATTGCAAATATTCAGCCCATAATAACAAGTTCTTTCTGTTTGTATCACGTCAAATTTAATCCGACATTTCGTCTATGTTTTAAACTAATAGGTAGCCCAGTATCACGAAACTATACTCGCTAACACCATCGAAATTAGAATTGAATTAACCGTTACCTAGAAATGTTTATAATCAATTCCTTATTCCTAATATCACTTAGGTTGTATCAATAATAATGTTTTATCTTGATTAGTTGTAATAATCATGTATTTTATAAATGTACTTATTGTAAAAATAAGGAAAAATATAATAATAATGATAAGACGTGTTTTATATTTCAAAACAATTTGTATGCACCAAGCAGTATTACAAACGTTGATTTGGCAATATGCTGATATTGATGATGCAATAATAAAATCCAATCCGTTATAAAAGAGTTCGAATACTGCCAAACAATTCATTATTCATCTTTTACATAATGAATAGATTTATATAACAGGGGCGGATCTAGCTTTTTGCTCAGGGGGGGGTTGACCAATAATGACGATGCGGAGCATCGTCCACGAGCCGCGAAGCGGCGAGCCGATTTTTTTGGGGTGTTTATTTGAACCCCGAGACCATAAAAAGCAGTGCATGATAACGTCTTTTTAAATCAAGTAACAGTTAAATACACAGTTATATCCAGAGTTATCATGTGTTTGGTTAAGTTACCAGATGAGTTGAATATCTTCTCACAATATTTGCACTTGAAAGGGTTTCTCTCTAGCGTGCGTTCTTTTTTCTTTCTTTTTTCTTTTTTTTTTCTTTTTTTTTTTCCTTTTTTTTTTTTTTTTTAATGTGGGGATTTTGGGGATGAGAATCGGCAACGCTGGCCTAGCTTGTCACTTCGGCGGTGGCCCGTGTCCTCAGAAAAGCTGATCGGGGGGGGGGGGCAAGGGACTCTGTGACATTTGTTCGCCCAACCCCCCCCCCCCCCCCCCTCCCCCAAAAAGAAATAATAATAATAATAATAATAATAATAATAATAATAATAATAATAATAATAATAATAATAATAATAATAATAATAATAATAATAATAATAATAATAATAATAATAAATGAAATAAATACATAGAAATAGAATAAAATAAAATTACAAGTTTAAAAAAAAAGATAAGATTTAAAAAAATGGTCCCCGGATTTTTTTTTGGGGGGGTTGCAACCCCACCCCCCCCCCCCCCCCCAACCCCCCCTCTAGATCCGCTTCTGTATAATATAACACAGATTAAAAACTGGTCCATTCCACAAGAACCTGCTCTTTTTCTCAAAAAGATTTTGTTTGTTGACGCAGATGGCGTTGTTCATCGATCTGTTTCCGATTACCATAAATTATTATTTATTATGGAGTCAGAAAAGAGATGAGGAAGGGACAGAGGATGGTGAGAAATGGAGAGAGGAGGTGAAGTAATGAGGGGATCGAAGAGGAGAGTAGATGAAGGGGGAGAGGGGGAAGGGGTTGTTCAGCTGATTTTATACCAACTTTAGATCTAGAGACTTGGGGGTATTTTTGGTGGTTGTTTGTTGTTGTTCTTTTTTTAGGGGGTCAATTACCAATACATGCATATACAATAGGTTGAATAGCTCCTAAGATTTTAAAGAGACTTATATAAAATCTCAATAAAATGCACACGCCTCAAAAATTAGATACCCCATTCAACTATGGGTGCGTTTATTGACCAAATTTTTGCCTAGAATCAGGTTTCTCAAACGTTTTTCAGGCAAATTTTGAAGGTGATAAATGCAAAGCCTTTTTTAAACGTCTTTAGATATTATAGGCATATCTAAAGACACAAATAGGTGCGTTTTGAATGTGACATACAGCCAGAATCACGTTTCTGAGAGATGATAAACGCAAAGCTGTTTTGAACCCCACTATCGGACCTTCCCAGGTTAATTTCCGGTTCGGAGGCTAGCGCGCGCCATGTGATGTGTACAAGCATGTGTGTGTAGTTGGCCTCCGAGAAACTGTCTGCTTCCCGGGTCAAACGGCGCAAAACAACTGCGCAGACACAAGGCCTTTATTTTGAATCGTGAAGAGACGATAAACGCGACATCCCGCAAATCACTTTCGTATAGTGGGGTTCGCAGTATGTACATTATCTAGTGGCAAGACACGATAAACGCAAACTATTATTGAAAATAACTATAATAGTTATTTTTAATATAATTATCTGTCCTTTAAAAGTACAAAAGGCCCACCCGAAACAAACTAGTTAAACAATTATTTTGTAATTGAAAAATTGCCACTAATTTTTTTTTAAATTTCTACATACTCCATTTTCTGTTCTCACATCTGCATCTTTTAAGATTTGACAAAGTTTCGGACCTTTTTTTAAAGAGAGAGATGCTGGTCCAGATACAGGTTTTTAAGTAATGTGATTTGTAGAATCTTCATGCAACTTTTAAAGATTGTTTCCTTTTTCATGTTCGTGTTAAATTAAAGTCATATATACAGACACATAAAGTGTACTTTTTCTGTAGAAGAAACATTCCCTCATCTTTAAGTACCATTTTATAAATCATGAAATTACTTTGAACGGGTCAATTGAGCAATCTAAAAGATCAGACTCTCGATGAATTATGCCATTCACTAGTCATATTGTTTTTTCTGGCCTGTTTGTATGTCTATTTGTTTGTTTGTTTGTTTTGTAGGCTGGTTGGTTGGTTGATTTGTTTTTGTTTGGTTGGTTAGTTGTTTGGCTGTTTAATTATTGGTTGATTGTTTGTTTGTTTGGTTGCTAAGCTTTTTTAAGTGAGTTTATTTGTTTGAATTTTTGTCTGTTTTATGAGCTATTCAGCGCTTCAAACGGTTCATTTCTTCATTTGAAGAAACAAATCCTGAAATGCAATGTGCCATCTATATATGTTTATGACAGTTTTCGTAGACTACGTAGTAAATAAAAATCTATTAAAGTTATCAGTATGTAATATTATAAAATGTTACATACACATTCATGGACACGGAAATGTCCGTTTCGATGATGCAGTTTCATATAGGCTTGTAGTTGATAACATGACAGTCAGTGCAGTGTGTAGGCCTAACAATATTATTTGTCACATACTTATATTTATAGAAGAAGGTGCTCTTTTCAAAGGTACCTTTCACAGGATGTACTTTTATCTACAGAGGACTGAGTTATTGATGCATCATGATGGCCATAAACATCATAACTTAAGTAGTAGTAGATCATTAAATAATGTTGATTCAATTCAATTCAATTGAAATGAACATTTATTTTTTTTCATTGAATTTGACAACATAATTTGACATCTGTTCAAACAATACACTTTATACGTAGGAACATAAATATAATCAAAGAACTTATATATTACAAGGGAAAAGGCGCGAATCCCGATAAGCAAAGCTTGTAATGGGTACGCCTGAAAACACAAATACATAATATACATTATAAATTATAGAAAAAAGGAAGAAAGGGGTAGGCAAGGAAGAGAGGAGGAAAGGAGGAGAGAGAGCTTGAAGAAGGAGAAAAGAAGAGAAGAGGAAAAGAAGAGGAGAGGAAAAGAAGAGGAGAGGGGGAAAAAGAGGAGAGGAAAAAAAGAGAGGACTGCAACATACGGGGATCCAGCAGAAAGGGTGACCCCACTACCTTTGAAAGAAAACATGAAAACACCCCCATCTAATCTCTGATTTTAGGCGGCTCTGGACAGCCGACGGAATGCCCTTTGTAAAGTAACACCCGAGAGAAAAAAAATTCAGTTCATTCTAGTTCATTCTTTTTTCTTTCTTCTTCTTATAGTTCTTCTTCTCGTTGTTCTTCACCACTATCCCGCTTGAAAGCCTGGGCAAGGTCGGTGAGATTGCCAAAACCATGTTTCTTGGAAGATTTTGGAAATTAATGTCGTGAAAATTTTCTTTGATTATATTCCAGGATTAGTATTGATTATATCAATTAATGCATCGGAAATCATATTAAAACAATAACATCTATAAAAACTACAGGCTTAGTTAAATAATTACAGTTGAACTC